TAAATTGTAAAATTAAAAAGGAAATAATTATTGGTATTAATAAACACAATGGACAATCTTAATAAAATTTATCTTCTCTATAACAATCTCCTAAGATAAATTGAACGATAAATTATTTAAATATATAAAAAGCATTCATATTAGTCACACTTAAATGCATGAGTATTTTCTCTTAAATTTCCAAAATAAATTTTTCAATAACATTATTAAAATTTAAAGTTTATAAAATCAATTTAATAAAAATAATAGTATTACTGTTAATTAAATCTGAGTTGAGAAAATTATTAATTTATGAAATTCAATATTAGAATATATTGACTCTCAAGAAATACGAAGATTAGAAAACTTAGAAATGATAAATGTCGAAAGATTTGGTTGAAGAATCTACTTTATAAATCTTGTAAAATTTATACTATCATTTGATTAATTACTGTTCTTAATTATTTAATTCCTCTTATCACAAATTTCATCTCGTTCTTTTCTATTTTTGAGTCTTTTTTAATACTACAACTGGTTAATAATTTGGAGCTTCATCAGTTTTACCCCTCCCATTGTTCCTGAATGGTAACTCAAAAGGGTGAGAAAAACTGGTCACTTCGAAGGAGCCAATCCATTAATTGTAATCCCTCTAATCCAAACATTTATGATCGAACATTCTCTAATGTATGCTTATCCATAAATAAAGCTTTAGCTAAGAAATAAACCACTTTAAAATGGAATTTTGGATTAATTGCTTCTTACAAAGATCTTTCTTGCTTATATTGTAGTAACTGCTATTCCATTATCAAACCATAATTCTCCTAGATTTAAAATTTTTTCAAATTCTGGCAATTCTATGTCAATAATGATAATGTATTCATGAGATATTGTTACATTTTCTCCTGCTATTGGTAATCTACCATTTGGCCATATAGAAACGTCTGATCATTTCTTTTGTATTTTTACAAGAACGTCAACAAAATATGCAAGTCTCCCTACAGAAGATTCCAGATGGTGCAACTCAATATTGTTGTATTCTTTATTTGGCAGAGATACAAATTTAAAGAATCATGTAGTTCTATCATTGAACTAGTTACCTTTGTTACAAGTATTGGGATTTGGAATTTCTGAAACTTAACTGTAATTTGAAGGGAATTTGTGATTTCTGTTCCTCTTTAAACAGTATAGTTGAATCTGAATAGTAGACCAGATTCTTGAGAACTTATGTATTGAAATGATCGATAGACTTAACCAATGTGGTACAATTTATATTATATTTTTATCCCAAAGAGCAATATCTCCACTCAAAATTCCAACATATTATTCATATTAATATTTGGTTTAGATGTAACACCAGAAGGTTTTGATTTAAATGCTAAATAGAATCCAACCATTATGCTCCACCTACTCTATTATTGAAAAATATATTCTTAGTATTTGTAATTCAAAAGGCTGCTGCTGTTGCATCTGATTGATATAATTAGCAAGATGATTTAACAACAGCTAAAAGATTTAGTTCAAAAGTTTTGTACATTTCATTACCATTTTAAATGTAGATAGTGTGGCCAACAATGTTGTGGCAAATGTTATATGTAACATCCAAATGTGATAAACTTTATAATTCTATACAACGAGCATTTGAATTGTGAATGGAATTGCTTCTAATATATGAGTTTGAAACTACTCCATCATTATTGAAATTAATTGGGAATTGAACACTATTTACTTTTCTACATTTTCAATTTTGCTTCAGTGACTTCATTTTGTTTTCCTTAGATGTAAATATGAACTCCATGATAATTCATTTAATCACCTTAGATTCTGATAATTCTGGTCAAACATCCACCTTTCTTAAAAATTCAACTGCATCAAAATGTTCTAAGTCTGTTTCATGAATAAAATTCAGAGTCTCATTCAAAGTCAAAGTTCTTTTATCACTAGAAATTGATACAATTTTTCTATTTTCAGCTTCTCTTTAGGCTTATTTGCTGGATGGAAACAACCAATTTACAGTCATTAGTGGTTGTTTAGGGTAATAAAGTCCATGATGGTGTTCTATTTTTACCATGAGTATCGATTTTGCAAATTGCTTAAGTACAAATTTAGAAAGTTCCTCTATTAATAACAAAGAAGTATCAGCATCATCTGCAAATACTAAATTACCCTCAACCAAAACTTGTACTAATTTTGGAGTATGTACATCTACAATCAAAGTTGTACCTTGAGTGAGTCTCTAAAATCATCATGAGGGAATCAATCTTTAAAGGTTACTCCATCAGTAGCATGTTAGAATTTAGCTTCTTTCGGATATCACCAACATCAAATCTAGCTAAGAAATTAAAGTGTTCTGATTTTATTTTTGTGTTCTTTCCAAAATCATTTAAACACAACAATTTGTAGCTGAATTAGAAATAAAATAAGTAGTTTAAGATTCATCATAGAATTTTTTTAACTAGCTCTGAATTCTTCATGGTCAGGCTTGTAATTTTTGGATTACAATCCCTTCTATACTTTTTTAGCCTATACTGGGTTAAAATCTGGTATTCAACATAATATACTTTGATAATTAATATTTATAAAATCACATTTCTTTCTACAAACTTTTACATTATGTCTCTCATAAAACCATAAATATTAATTTCTAAATTCTTTCCTCCTATGCATGAAGCCTTCGGTAATGATCCACTCATAACTGGATTTTAGAAAAAAATCTTCTCGAATTCCTAGGTTCTCCATATTCCAACTTTATCATCACATTAAACAACAATATCAAATTATCCTAAAGGAACATTAGAGAAGGAAACTTGAATTAATTTAGCATCATTATAAAAAATCGTTCCGACAACATCATCAAGACCATCTTTTTCTAAAAGAAAATTCAATGTTGTAGCACTCAAATTAGTACCTAAAATATTGAAAGTCAAGGTTTCAGTTGATGCATTATTGATTTAAGCTGATTTTATAGAAACTTATACAATTCCAGTATTATTATTAATTTATGTTATAGCAGATTAAACTATATTAGTAACAGTGAGATTAATTGAAAACTAGTATGATGATTTTGTTTTAAAATTCTGTCTAATATCACAATATAGTATTATAACACCATATCCAGAATTTGTTGTGTTTCTTGGAGTTCTACATTTCAATTTTCTATGTCCAGTCTTCTTCAATCTTAAACAATTCCATATTCTAATGTAGACTTCAAGTTCATTATCAACTCCAAACCACTACATTCTATTTCAATATCTTATCCACCTTATACAATTGTATTTGTTGAAATTGATGTGTTTTAGAATTCAAAATTAGTCCACATCCTTGTTGCATATCCTGTAAATGTAAGAATTCTCGTTTATTATTCACCTTAAGGTAAATCAGGCACCGTATATATAAATTATCCAGTTTCTGAAATTGATCCTATTACTCAATATTTATCATGAATACTATGATTACTTTTTATGAACTTGTTGTAGTGCATTTTATGCTTAACTGTGTAAATTTTAATTTAATCAAAAAGGTAATCATTTTAGAATAGTTTCATAACTTTAGTAATGGCTAATTCTCAAAGAAGGTTTAATTCTTTTAGTTCAGGGTATTCTCTCCTTTTGTAAAAAGTATTTTAAATAATCTGGCAATACAAGTTAATCTTCAAAAAATAGTCTTGAACCTTTACTTGCAGTGGAATCAGTTGGTGCATTGCTGGATAAGGTTTATGTGGAATCAAAAGTGAACTGGCAAATCGAATCAAACAAAATTCTAGTTGTCCCAATAAGTTATTGGGGAGTTGTGTATCAATAAAATTTTGGTGAAGTCACACAATAATAATTTTTTTCTGCCTTAAAAATTTCTACTGTAATATCAGAAATGAGTGATCCAAATCTAGTACCAATAATAGTATTGGTTCCATTGTTAATTGGTATTAATATTGTCTCTTAAATCTTTTAATTGAAATAATGGTTGTATGATCATTAGTGAAATCAGGAATATGAACTTGTCCACCCTTAAAATGCAAAACAACTATTGAATCAGGCATTGATTAATCATATATTGGAGTCTTGAGAACCACTTAATTACTTAATGTTGATTTGATAACAGTCTAAACTCCTCCAAGATTAACGGTTAAGTCTGTTATAATTTCTTTAGTTATGCCTGTTAAATCATATTTTCTCCCTATTATTTATAAGTTTGTTTAATAGAGCGATTTAGATATATTCACTTCAAAATTTATTTATCAAGTTTCAAAAAAATTTTCTATTGTTCAACCTGATAGAGGGGCAACATTTGAAACAGCAAAATCATCAGCATATGCAAATATTTTGGTCCATAAAATTCTTTAATATTCAATAATTTTCTACTTTTTTTTTCCTTACCTTCCTGGTTAGCATTTTTAGGCTAACCTTCTGTTAGAATTATTCAATTAATTGATAAAAGTAAATATCATAAAGGAAAGATGGATCCTTAATGAACTACATCTTGGAACTAAACTTTATTGTCTCAACAGGATATATATATATAATTATTCATAAACCCATTCAAGAGTATAAAGTCAATATCATTAAAAACTCTTTTATTTTATTCTCTCAATATTTTAAACCCTTAATCTTTTCTAACAGTATTAGGGGTATCTGATAAGGCAATATTCAAAAGAACAATCAAGCTGAGAAATAAAACCAATTTAATTTAAGAAGAATTAATCATGGTAAAACAAATATCTTTGAACCTTCCAAGAGTGTGAGTTTCAATCAATTTTATAAAATGATTAATTAAAATAATTCGTCTAAATTATCCCTGAAGATAGATAGTTAGATGCATTTTGTTAAAAGTTACCATCTCTAGTTAAATCATCAATTCAAAATTGAGCTTGACTTAAAATTGTTTATTAAAATATATTTTTAGATGTTTTAGTACTCCTCAATTCTCCATATAATATGAATTTAAAATTAATTATATAACCCTCTTTTTATAAGTTTTCAGATTTCTAGCATTTTAGATTAAATTATAAATATCTCAAGATTTTTTAGAGAAAAGTGGAGTTTTGGTGACTTCTCTCACTAATTTATTAAAGTAAATTCGTATTCCACATATTTAATTCCATAAAAAGTTTGGCTATTACAAATTTTCATATATATAGAAAAATCTCCTAAGGTTTTACATTAATTTCATTCAATTTGTCTAGGAGTTTAATATGATTCAAAGGTAACCTTGAAGATGACTCTATTACTCAATATTTCTATTGTATATTCTTTCTTATCATTCAATAGTCAATCAACCTACCTTTCGTTCCCATCACATTCTTCCTAATGACATTAAATTAATAACAAATTACCTGTGATTACTCAATTTATTTTGATAACTTTAATTCCAAAATTTTTAGATTGAATCCTTGAGCTTTTATATCAAATTCGTTACATTAATTTCTAAGTTAAACTGTATTTTACATTAATTTTCTTAATACTTAAATTAATATTTTTTAATTAAGCCTTTATGATTTATATAATTCGTATGCTTTATTCATGAAGTCATTTTTGGGACTCTATAAATTTATAAAGTTTTATTCCATCACTAAAACGGAAATCACATTCTGAATTTTTCATAAAAGATAGACTGATTTTGGTGTGAAAGTACAGTAAACTCATCATGAATCGCAATATTTTTATTGATTGCGGTTGTTAAATAATTAAAATAAATTTTCCTTTCTGTTCCAAATTTCTAAATTTTAAGATAACATATTTTTTCATTTATTGTTCTCCTTATTTCAAAGATTTTTTGAAATATATGGAATTTGCTGACTAGACATATTTATTAACTCACCTCTTCCCATTCAATTGGGGTATAAATTTTAACTTTTAGAAATAATTATAAAATCAATTTCTATTAAATAATGAAATGCCCATTGTTAAATCATAACTCCTAAGTTGAAAGATTTTGTATAAACCTAAAATGTATTGAAAAAACACGCTTATCTTGCAATGAATGCTATTAATCCAGTTTTCATTGTAGTCATCTAAAAGATTAGAATCTAATTTCTGATTTGCCAGATTATGTTGAAAAAATATCAACCTAATGTGAAAGAGAATTAATTAAGTTTCTAGGAGATTTAGAAGATTAAATTTCAGAATTGTTTTTCTCATTAAAAGATAAAATTAGATCGCAATTTTAAATATCCTCACTCAGGTTGAAGGCTTTAAATTATTATTAAGTCAACGAAATGTTATGTTAATTTATGGACTTAAACAGTTTTAAGGATGATATGATTGAAATAGAAATCAAATCCAAAAATTTATTAAATGAATTAAATGAAACAATCCAATAGCTTCGTTCTAAATAAATAATATAAGTCTCTAGATAAGAAACTGCTGAAGCAAACTCATATTACATCGAAGGTAACATCATAAATTAATTAGGTTTGACATTATTTTCTTAAGGAGAATATTTGAAAGCTTTAAAAGCATTTGATACTTCTTTAAACCTTAATCCATATTAAATTGAAGTTATGTTGTGGAGAGGTAATAAGAAAAATAATTAGGTGATTGTTTATTTTATAGTTCATCATACAGAGATGCTCTTTAGTAATATAAATAAGTTTTCAAAATAGAGGAGTCTAATATCAAATCATTATATGGAATTGGTATATTTTTATACTTTTCAATTAGGAGATTGTTTATTTAGGTTAAACTAATATTAAGAAGCTATCCATTGGTTGGATTAAGTGTTGAAGTATAATCCGAAAAATTCAAAAGCTTTGTCTAAGAAAGGTAGTTGATTACTCCTATTAAGAAGGAGACTGCTTAAAGAATTTGAAGAATTATTATGAAGCTATAATTTTGTATGATAATGCATTGAGTATTGATTCAAATTTATTTTGGACATTACAATCAAAAGGTTTTTATTATTATCAAAATTTTAGGATCATGTTTATAAGATTTAAAGCAATTCAAAGAAGCTATAGATTGTTATGAAAAAGCTTTAATCTTAGATTCAAAAAGTCAAAGTGTAAAGTCATCAAAAAGCTATTGCGAAGAGATGTTATAAAAATGAATTAAAATATATATATATATACATATAATGAGAGAAAAGTGTTTATATCGTTCATCCTTTTATTATTTGAGATATTTTATTTTTATTTTATATTGATTATCTTTGACTATTACTACTCTTAAATAATATTTAATAAAATATTGAATGTTTTAGCATTTAGATCATAAATACTATTTTTTTAATCCCTCTAACTCTTGAACACTTGGGGTTTCGTAAACCTAAAATAAAGAAAATTTTCAAATATTCTGTTAGATTCTTGGCATGATCTCAGTGCTTTCTCTTAGAGCATCCAACTACAACAATAAGATTTCTCAATTTATATAGTCTTTTTAATTATTCATTTAATTCGCTCCATCCTATTAAAGGAAGCAGCATAAATATGTCTATCGAAATACTCTTAAAAGTGTCAAACTGATTTTTTTCCTCAAAATTTCAAGTTTTTATAAAGCTCTAAATGTCAAAAATAAAATTAGTTTATTGGGAGTTCTTATCGTTTATGTTTGATAAAAAGATTGCTATGAAAATATAATTATTATTTATAATAAAAAATTATTTAACTATTGTCATTCTCGAAGAGAAGGTGATTTTATTTAAATACAATTAATGAAAAAATTATGAATTATAAAAATGATTAGCTAAATTCTATTTTTTTGCTCATAAATCATAGGGCATTAGCTTAAGCATAGATCATACTCAAAAGATGATTTTAATTTATTTTACCTAATTAATGAAAATTACATATAATCTAAATGAAGACTTAAACAAACATCAATTACGGGTGGTATTAAACATTGAATAGTTTTATTCGAAAATAGGAAATGCCACAGCTTAAATATTTCATTTGAACTAAAAAAAATTTAACTAAAAGGTTTTCTTCTCAAGCTCATATGTAAATTTATAAAAATGTTAGATGGTATCATTCCTGTTATTTTCACCATATTAAGCAAATTTAAACATTATAATCATTGATTTCTTCCTCAATGATACTTTTTTAAACAATACCCTTGTTATATGCAGCTTTAAAATAAATTAGATATAATTAAAATCAGTATATATGGTTTGGATTTATAACTAAAGGAGAAAAAGGATCTCTTTATTACTCACTCATAGAAAAAGCCAACATAATAAAAGACTCTTAAAAGTAATTGTAAAAAGTTTCTCCTCATCTTACTATTTCATCTAATAATAGTTTGTTTCGAATAAGTTTTGAAAGAACAATTAACTACCAAATGATTTGACTGGTAGATTATATAATATAACAACTATCTGATGCAAAGATCTTATTCATCAACTATTATAGGTAATCCTTTTCAATCAATTTAGAATCTAATAATCACATCAATAATTTTTAATTTTATTAATAATGAAAAAAATATTGAATACTATTGACAAAATCGATATATTTGGGGTTCCTATCAATCTGTTGACTAATTCTAAGGATTTATTCTATCAAAGTAAGCTTGGTGGAATAGTTACTCTTATTGTTGGAAGTCTTGGTTTTGCCTATTTTTTATATGTAATAATTTTGTGGATCGAAAATCATCTACCTCCAAATGTGAGTTTTAAATAATAAACATTATCGTATGCAGAATTTGAAATAACAAACTCTGTTATTCAATTAGAATTATAAGATTTTTCAGGTGAGGTAGATCCTTTCAGAAGAGAAAACAATATCATAACTCCTTATTTATATAAAATTATAGATAGAACAATTATTGATAAACCAATTCCANTAATTATTATTTATAATAAAAAATTATTTAACTATTGTCATTCTCGAAGAGAAGGTGATTTTATTTAAATACAATTAATGAAAAAATTATGAATTATAAAAATGATTAGCTAAATTCTATTTTTTTGCTCATAAATCATAGGGCATTAGCTTAAGCATAGATCATACTCAAAAGATGATTTTAATTTATTTTACCTAATTAATGAAAATTACATATAATCTAAATGAAGACTTAAACAAACATCAATTACGGGTGGTATTAAACATTGAATAGTTTTATTCGAAAATAGGAAATGCCACAGCTTAAATATTTCATTTGAACTAAAAAAAATTTAACTAAAAGGTTTTCTTCTCAAGCTCATATGTAAATTTATAAAAATGTTAGATGGTATCATTCCTGTTATTTTCACCATATTAAGCAAATTTAAACATTATAATCATTGATTTCTTCCTCAATGATACTTTTTTAAACAATACCCTTGTTATATGCAGCTTTAAAATAAATTAGATATAATTAAAATCAGTATATATGGTTTGGATTTATAACTAAAGGAGAAAAAGGATCTCTTTATTACTCACTCATAGAAAAAGCCAACATAATAAAAGACTCTTAAAAGTAATTGTAAAAAGTTTCTCCTCATCTTACTATTTCATCTAATAATAGTTTGTTTCGAATAAGTTTTGAAAGAACAATTAACTACCAAATGATTTGACTGGTAGATTATATAATATAACAACTATCTGATGCAAAGATCTTATTCATCAACTATTATAGGTAATCCTTTTCAATCAATTTAGAATCTAATAATCACATCAATAATTTTTAATTTTATTAATAATGAAAAAAATATTGAATACTATTGACAAAATCGATATATTTGGGGTTCCTATCAATCTGTTGACTAATTCTAAGGATTTATTCTATCAAAGTAAGCTTGGTGGAATAGTTACTCTTATTGTTGGAAGTCTTGGTTTTGCCTATTTTTTATATGTAATAATTTTGTGGATCGAAAATCATCTACCTCCAAATGTGAGTTTTAAATAATAAACATTATCGTATGCAGAATTTGAAATAACAAACTCTGTTATTCAATTAGAATTATAAGATTTTTCAGGTGAGGTAGATCCTTTCAGAAGAGAAAACAATATCATAACTCCTTATTTATATAAAATTATAGATAGAACAATTATTGATAAACCAATTCCATTATTTAGTAGTGAAGATAAACCATTTATTATATCAATAGATAATGGAACTATAGTTTTAAATCATGATTATTCTGGGCAAAATGGTAGATTCCTTATGACATAGTATTTGTTAGTATTCTAAAGTTGTTCTGATAGTTTACTTGAAAATGGAAGTTATTGTGCTAATGAGAGTGTAATTAATGAATACTTATCAAAATTTCATGGATTTTTATTCTTAAGCATAAAATTACATTAACTAAACTATTTTACAAGACAATTGGAAGAATTTAAAAAATAATATTACACAGCCTTCTAACTAACTAGACCTTTGTATTCTTAAGTTATGCTTAAATAATAAGAAACTATTATTGATGATGGAATCTTATTTAATAATTATTAAAATTATTACTTCTTAAACAATTACGAATTAATAAATTAAGAGGTTGAAAACTCTTTTACTTCTAATGTGGTTAGCTAAATGTCATAGCAGGCTTATAAATTTAATAATTTTGGTTGTTATTTATTTAGAATAGATGATATTTCTATTTCAGAAAATGTCACAATGCCAAAACTTGGTTAAGTGTTAGCTTAGGTTGGTTCAATTGTACAAATAATATTTATGTTAAAATATATTGCATTATATTACAATAAAGTGCTATTAGAAAACGAATTACTCCATGAAATAATTACTATGTATTATCCAGAAATGAAAAATATAAAGTTGAACTTTTTGAACTAATTTGAATTTAAAGATAATTCAATTAATAGTATTAAGAACCTTAATTAAGATTTTAAATATAAATATAAAATCTTTTTAAAAAGAGCAAAAGTAAAATGTAGATTAAATAACATCTTGTATGAGATTTCAAGGATATAATTTATTCTTTAACAATAATTTGGTGACTAACTTTTGCAACAAAGTCATTAAATGGGAAGTAGACTTTCAAATAATTATATTGATTATGAACATTGTAAGGATTCTAATAGATTAACTGTAAAGCCAGCTAATTCTTTAGATATTGATAATGACTTTGCTTTATTAGAGCCATTAGAAATATTATAAAAATAACCCTGAATTTATTTTCATATCTAATTTTAATTTAATTATTGATATCAGTATAATTATACATAAATCAAATAATAAATCATCAATTTTCTCTACTTCAAAATTTTATATGTTTATAACTATTGAAAAACAAATCTATAAATTAAAGTAATTTAAAAATTTTGAATCTAATTCTTTCTATAAGATTTATATAATTTGAATGAATATATTATAATGAATCCTTTCACAAGAAATATTTATTGTAACGAAACAATTTTTATTTGAAATTCAAGGATTAGTTGGTTTCATTTTGTAATAATTCAAGCTGTGAAAGAATTATTATTTAATCAATACATTTAAGGATTGGACGGGAAGATGTTTTCTTAAAGCATTTTTGGCAAATTTGATAAGTTGTAATAAATTTGAAAAATTTTTTTCAATAATCTATTAGAACAAACATATAAGCTAAAATAAGAATATTTTGAAATTGTTTTTACAGAATTGTTGTTTCCAAACATATTTAATTAAAATAAATATTTTTCAAGAAAATTATCAGTCTATTGCAATTCGAATCTAAATATCTATTTGATTCATCTTTAATTATAAATATAAATTTGTGGATTTTCTCAAACATTATATTAAATTAAATTCTTAATCAGTATATATAATTGAAAACCTATACAAGGACATATACCCAACTATAATTTATGAATAATTTGGATCAATTAATTGAAGAATTAAAAATTTTAATAAATATAAAATTATTCAAACATGTCTTTCAAGAATCTAAAAATTTAAATGAGAAAAGATTTTGTAAAAAGTCCCTCACTATCAATGATAATTTGAATTAATTTTCGGTGATTATTATTACCAATATTTCATTATCTCTTTTTATTTCTTCATCTATTCTATTTATTCTGAATTAAAGTTTTATTGCATGATTAAAAGTATTGTGACATTAATATCCGAATATTACAGATTATTGATCAAAACCTTATTCATAATCAAAATTATTCAATTGAATATTCAAATTCTAATTTTAAGAGCAGCTTAAATCAACTTCAAGATTAAAAAATGTTTAATTCTTTAACGCAGATTCTGCGTATTAACCATTCGTATCATATACTTATTGATCTGGAAATTCAGAGCATATTACTTCAATTTTTTTGGTTAACAAAATTTATGAAGAAAAAGATTAATTGATAACTAAATCAGAATAATAAAATTTTGGTGGTTCGGCTAAATTATCATTTTCTATATTTGAATAACAGTTATTCTTATGATATAAAAATCCTTCTTTACATTTATAGCATTTACCCAAATAACAAAAATTGTTTAAACACGAAATAGGGCAATGTTATAAGCATTGATGACATCCATCATTAAAATCAAGATCTTCATCATCACATTGTTCAGATGCAACTGTTATCTAATCTCCACAAATGGAATGGCATTTATTGTCAATTTTATCGAATCCAATTTTACATTACAAACATCCATGTCCTTCGATACTGCAACTTAAACAATTGGAATCACATCTAGGATCATGATATTTTTCATTAATTTTAATGCATTAATTCTTAACAAATTGGAAGCCTTCATAACAATCTAAGCAAACTCCAAATTCACAAACAGAACAACCAATAGTGCAAATTTTTTAACATTGATGACATCCATCATCAAATATTAAATTGCCATCATCACATTATTCATCAGCTGTAACAAAACCATCTCCACAAATAGTTTTACACATGTTATCTATATTTTGATAACCTTATTAACATTCTAAACAACCTTTGCCTTAAGTAGAACAATTTAAGCATGAATTTTAACATTTTGATTTACAATTCTAGCAGCCTGTATATGGTAAAGCATTATCACATTCCTCATCTTTTGCTACAATAAGATCTCCACATTTAGAATAACATGAATACTAATCATTCAGATAGTATCCTATTCCACAAGCATAACATCTGTTATTTCTACAGTCGGTACAAATTTCTGGATCTTAGCATTCTGTCTAACATAGACTACTGCAATCATCTCCATTGATAATATTACTATCATCACAATTCTCAGTAAAAAAGTTAGTAGGATCTTAATCAATTATATTATTTCCACAAATATTTTTGCAACTATTAGAATAGGGTTTAAATCCTGGGAGATCACATTGTAGACATGTTCCAGTTTTGTAATCACAATTAGAACAATTACTTCTGCAATTAAATCTACAATTCTAACACTAGTCAATATTATTTGAAGTATCATTAATGCATGAATCGCTTTGAATTACATCTCCAAATCCACATTATAATAAACAATTTTCTGAAGACATAGTAAAACTTGTAGTATATTTTTTAGTGACACAATGTGTACATTTTCCTTTAACACAATTTATACAATTTGAAGAACATTAAAATTTACAATTATGACATCCATCAAATTAAATCTAATTCCCATCATCGCATTCTTCAGTGCCATTAACAATCCCATCTCCACAATAGCCTTAACATGGTAATGTGGTTGTTGAAGTACAAGTTGTACAATCACTAGGACATTAATACTAACAATTAAAGCATAAATCGTCTAAATCATTATTTCCATCCTCGCATTATTCATATCCTACGACTTAGAAATCCCCACATTTTGGCATACATTGTCCATAAACAAGTTGAAATCCAAGATCGCATTTTGTACAAATTTATGTATGCCAAATTGACATACCTGCTTCACATATTTTGTAACATTGTACTAATGATGTATTTTCTATGGTAGGACAACCTATGATATATATTTATGAATTACTTTAACAAACACCATTTAATTCATAATAACCTGGCATACAAACACATTTTAATCCTTTTAATATTCGTTTGTTGTTTATGTTACAAGTTAAGCATCCATCAATGCTTAATCTAAAGCAACTTTCACATGTAGAATGACAAGCTTTACATGAATTTGAAGTTGAATCATAACTGGTACCAAATTAACAATTACAAGTTTATTAACTATGACATTTTTAACAGACTGGATTAGAATTAATAGAATAATATCCTGCTAAACACTCACATTTTCCATTTATTAATTCTCTGTTATCTGCAGTCAAACATTCTACACATATTTAGTCATTAACACATTGATTGCATCCTATTGGACATTCATAACATTAATTATTTGCAAAATACTAATTCATTAAGCAACTACATCTTTTTTTTATAAGAGTAAGTGTTAATTCACATGATTAACAAATAAATTCAGATGTACATGTCCGACAAGTTTCAGGACAAGGTAAACATTGTTATTCTTATTTATTATAATATGATTTTGTTAAGCATCCTTCTTATTAATGAAATTTCACATCAACAGAATTATCCCATTTAGTACAAGTAATTTAATTTAAACACTTCAAACAATAAGGTGAGCAATAATGAACGACAACATTATATCCGTATATTCCACAATATGCACTTTCTGGATTATTGTTACTACCTTTACATTCCCAATAAAGGGTTAAAGTATCAGAAGAATGTTTATTAGTCAATATCACTTTTTCTGAAACAGTTGCATCTGAAAATGATAAAGTTGCACTTGCTCTGGATTTTATTATAGGCTCATTACTTTCTAAAGTATAAATAAATTAACTATCCAAAGGGAAATTGGGACCATATAAAATATAAAATACTATAGTAACACTGTGATGTGGTTTTTATATCTAATGAGTTATTTAAAATTTTGCTTAACTCCAAATATGTTATCCACCAAAAATTTATTTTCCTTACCAAATAGAATAAAATATATTTGATCCTTTTAAAAAATTTCTAGATTCTTATGAAACAAGAACATATTAAGAGGATTAGGATGGATCATTTATTCTACTAAAATACTCATTTTTTATTAAAAATTAAGAATCTAATAGTATATCAAAATAATAAATACATGGAGTTTCATTATCATAGTCAATGCAAGAATTTCCATTTATCACTTGGTAATATTCTTCACATTTTACACAATTACCATCACTTGATACATATAATCCTTCATCACAAATTTAACATATATAAGGTAATTCACAATATTTGCAATTATCTTAACATTATCCAGATGAAATCTTTAATTCTCTTAGACTCCAAGCAGCATTAGAATTTCTATTAAAAATTTAATATATACTGATAATTTCCAAATACTATCAACGAAAAAGAATATTTTGGTATATCAACATACATAAATACTCTCAAGGTCTAGCAAGTTGTCCAATAATCGATACAATTAAATTACTCTTATTGATACATTGTAACCCTATGAAATTACATACCTTAATCAGTTTAATATATTGATCCAAAGTAAGTACCATTAATTTTAAACTCTATTTTACCTCCAACCGGAATTGAATCATATAATGTAAAAGTTAGTTGTAATCCTGGCAATAATATTCCTTAATCAAAAGAGGAAAAATAAATAAACCTACTGAATCCAGAATTCTTAGTGTAAATACCATGCTATTATGATGCTTATACTTAATCAAATAATGGTTTGGCTATAATATCAGGAATCATTTTTGTAAATCTTATTACATTTGAATATAACTATTCAACATAAATAGTGCTTGCTAGAATTAAAGAAATAATTACTTTTAAAATATACACAGATCTTCTCATAAGTTTAGCGGTAATCAAAATGGCAATATTGTGTACAACCTATATTTGGCATGAATACTTAATTTGCTGGACACATGGGACATCTATTATTTTGAGGTGATCCACTCTAACAGCTTGTACATTAGTTATGCGCTGCCCCTGTACAAGATATACATAAAGGATAGCATTATAGTCTAGATATTTACAAATTTTATATTGAAACTTTTCCATTGTTGTTTGTATTAGTCATTTACAATTCCATTTTACTTTTTTATGAAGATGAGAGTGTAAAACTTACAGTCTTAATTTCAGTTTTTAGATTATCACAAAATCCACTAGATATTGGATATTATTAAGGTGAAGAATACTCAACTGTAAAAATTTCATTCCCAATTTTTATTTTTATATTTCCATCTATCCATATATCTTAAAAATATAAATCAAGTGTTATTTAATCTTTATTATTAAACTCTATTTCATTTTCACTTATGAGTATTGGATTTTAAGAATTTAAAGTTATTAAACTTCTTATGGTTGGAATGATACAATCAATAAAATAGGCAGTTTTTGGTTGTGAAGGGAAGTTGAAACCCCCTACATTTACTAGATTCTAAAATTTTTGATTCTAACAATAATATTCTGCAACTAAAAGCCATTAACTTACACAAGGCTAGAAGATGATCATTAAATTTAATATGAAAAGCATTCTTGAAATAATTATTATTGAATTATTGATAAAAATTTATGTCTAATATTCGAATAAAATCATAGATTTATAATATATAGTTTATATTATTTTTGCTCTGAAAATACTGAGAGACCTCATTTATAGTTTATATATAAAGATTTTTCATAATTAAGAATAAAGATAATTGTATTTAACAAAATGGTAAACCGACAAAATTCAAACTTAGATTTATTTAGAATAGATATTATTATACTATTTTTTATTTCTTTAATTACAATAATTATTTGTGATTTAGGATATAGGATGAGCAGAAATCATCATACACCCATCCATATCTGATAAAGTTAAACTAAACTAAAATAGAGTTAATTCTAAAATCATATTTATTAAGCATGTAAAAAAAGAAATTATAGTACATTTTAATAAATAATAAATTTAGAGTTATTAAATCAATAATTATTAGATAATTACAAACATTAAAAGAAATTATTTGGTTCAAATTTTGAAGATAACAATGAATATATTTATAGATTTCACCAATTTATACTTCTTAACATATATCTTTTTATAATTTACTCATATGCTTTTCTAATTCTGAATTTTGTGTCCATTCTTATGAATTCTTAGTTTATTTTAAAGAATCTTTATTAAAAATCTTCTATTCTAATTCAAATTGTTTTAATAAAGTCTAATTAGTAATTTTTGAAATGACCTTGATTAGAAAAAGTATGTTAATAGACCAATAATTTTCAAAAAAAAAAGCACTCTTTTTTTGTTTTTTTTTAAATCTCTAATATAAATAACTATTATTGTTATTTTTTTATTAAACATCTTTTAATTACTCCTTAGTTGATTAACTAATTAGGGTTTAATTCAAAGTTGGATTGGATACTAAAGTTTATTATTCAAAGTGTAACAGATCTCTTGAGTAGACTCATAAACAGAATGTAACTTAAATTTCATTTAGAGTATAATCCCTTTTTCATAGTATATTTCTTCACATGAAACTAAATAATATATATAATTATATTTAATATTACTATTGAGGATTAAATGGAAGTTGAATATTTTTATTTTCTTTAAATTTATTGATATATCTCAAATAGAAGAGTAAAATATTTCCGTTTCTTTGTAATCTTAAAATGATAGTCATTTTCATATCCTTTTGATATTGTTTTTAGTTATCAACTATTTTCATATTGAAGAATAATCTAATTAAAAATGTTTGATTTTTGTTAACTTAATTATTGTAACCTACAAATCCTATATTCTAATTCATTCTGACAATGTTAAAGTATTTATAATTATTTTTCTTAGAATTGTACATTATTAAAAAAATCTAATAATTTAATTCATTAAGATATTTTCATTATTGAATATTTTAAAAATAATACTATTTCAATCATAAGTATAAAAATACACATCCAATCCGAGAGCAAAGTATGTAGAATAAATTTTTGGAAAATTTGATGTAATGACTTAATAATTTGAATTAAACATTTAATAAAATATATTATTTTAAAAATATAACAAGATTATTATAAAAAACATAAAGTCTATAAATTTCATCATAAAAATTAAATTGATGATTGTTAATTAATTAGTGAAAAATCAAATAGAATTATTTCCATATTTTGAAAATTATAATCAATTCAACCATTACCCAGATCTTTTAATTATTCTTAAGAGAAAGTATAATTAAAATTACTAACATATTCAATTTATTGAATATGTGAGAACTATCTTGGAGTTTAATTTGCTATCTACTATGAGTAGAACTAATTTCTCAAATTCAATGGAAATGGATTTATGAGATTTTATTAACTTCTTATTGGTAATTAGCTATAGTTGATAAAAGATGTATTTTTTGTTTTATGATCTGGCTTAAGCTCTTCTAATACTTGTTAAATATCATATCTCTTTTCTGAATCAATTTGAAGCATGTTTGAAAAGAGTTACTTATATTATTAACTACAATTAATTTATTGGATTAATTCAAAAATTACTTCTTATGTTATTTCATCCATTTTTTTCCCCACTAATTATCAATAATAGTTACCTAACGAATTAAATAATTCTAGACATAGAATACCAAAAGCCCAAATATCCACTTTATTTTGATGAATTAACATTTGATTGTTATCTTTTAATTCTGGTGCTGAATACTATGTTTCAATGTAAAATCGAAGTAGTTCTTGTTTTTTTATAAACTATCCATAATCACATAACTTATAAATGTTTTATTTATTATTAAATTCATCGGTTAATGTTTAGATTACAATATTACTCAGTTTTATTTACATATGTGGTAATCCTAAAATGTGTAATTCCATAATTCCATTAGCTATTTATCTAATTATATATCTTATGTTTTATTAATGTGATGTACACTATTCTTAACACTCAAATAATAAAGAATTTTGACTAAATTCCATTGCAAAATATAGTTTGTTCTTGGTCAATTCAAGCTTGATTATGTTCATTACATTTTTAAATTTCTTTGAAGCCATTAATTAATATTTCTTAACTTATTCAGTTTAAGATGTATCTATTATTTTGATCAAAACCTCCTCTTTTGTTAATATATTTGAGGCTTAATATACTTAAATATGGTCATTTCTATCTAATTATTCTTTTATTTCATATATAGTATCTTATATTATTACTTTATCAGGTGTTGATGAAATGGAATTCCTTATTAATTATTATGGCTACATTTTTTATTATTATTATTTAAATAATAAAAATTAATTTATTAATCATATGAATCAATCAAATTTATAAATTTCATTATTATTATTCTCGTTATTGAATCTATAATTTTAATTACAATTATTTGACTAGATGATTTGGATCTTTTGAAATTTAATAAGCCTTTTGATAATTCAATAAGGCTTATTAATACTATTTTAAGCCAGATAACGCATCACCTAAAATAATTTTATTATAAGACCTTTATTGCTTATTGATAAAGCATAATTAGGATTAATTAATAAAGCTTAATCAAAATTTTCTATAGCTTTTCCATACTATTTTAAATTCAGTAATGCATAACCTAATTGATAGTTATTAATATTTAAAAAAAATACCTTTATTATTATATAAAATTTCAGACTTCAATTAATTTTATATGGCATCGTCACAATATTAGATTGTTCTTTCAAAGTCTTTTAATTAATTTAGAGCAAAAGCTTTATATATATATATTACAGAGATACTTAATAATAAATATGCCTCCAAATCATTGACATTAATTTATAAGGCTTTTAAACTAACATTGAAAGCCTCTGTGAATTTTTTCAATTTATTTAAAATATTAGCTAGAATATTTTGCTTTTTACCCTAAAATTTATATGCTGGGTAAGCATTAGGGCTAATTCGGATTACTGTTTCAAAACATTAAAGAGCTTCTTTGTAACTTTACTAATTAAATAGCATCTCACCTACATTTAGAATAATAAAACCTTTAATAATATATGCTTAAACTTCTTTTGGATTAATTTGTATTGCTTTTTCTAAAAATATTCTTGCTTATTCTTAAGAATTCATTCTATTTAAAGCAAATCCTATTTAATTTGAATTGATATTTTTACCAGAATTACAATGAGCTAGATAAGATTAAGGATTTAATTTAATAGTATCTTAACAACACTGAATGGCCTATTCGTATTATTAAAGATTTAGTAGTTGATTACCTCAAAGTAAAATTTACTTTTACTTTTAGCTAGATGATATTCGTCATTATTTGGATCGAATAAAGTTGCTTAATTAAATTATTCTAAGGCATTATGATATTAATTCTTATTAGATAATGATTATCCTAACAACTAATTGCTATATTATACCATTCTTATAAAATCTTTTTGCAATAATTATGTTTACATCTAATTGTTGATAATGTTTTTCTCTATTATTTGAGGCGTTTTTGATTGTCTATTCAACTAAATCTAAATTGTGTAGGAATTCCCCTAATATTTTTTAATAGATTTTTACAATCTTTTATTTATTAATTACTGTTGTGGCACTATTTTATAATATGAATATTATTTCTGAAATCATTGTGTGCATTCGTTTTTAAAAAAGTCTCCATTTTTATTAAATTATCAATTTCTAAATCGGATTAGTTTTTAATAGTTTATATTATTTTTTCTATTTACGAGAATTTATTTTATATTTTCTATATAAAATCTTTTCTGTCATTAATTTATTATTAAATTATCTGATTTATAGTATTTATATCTATGCAATCATTTTAATGACCTCTGTGGTAATGTTATAAACAAAAGTAACAATATGAGGATTTATTTTTACATTGTGAATTGATGCAATATCCAATAATCTTTTCACCTAAATGCCATTCATATTAACAAAAAAATTGATTCATTCTTTTTTTTTTTAATAGAATTATAAAATTTTTAAATTTTATTAATAATATCAATAAAATTTATATACTCATTTTATAATTTTAATACTGAATTATATAAAATTTCCTTAGTCTATGAGCATTGAAATGTTTTGTTCTATTATTATTTAACATTTATTTGAACTATAAAAATGAATATTGAAGAAGAAACAAATTTTTAATGAAATATTTAGAAATACCATAAATTAAAATAATTGTAAAATAATAATATATATAAGATGTATCTTCTTTAAAAATTATGAATATTCATTAATAAAATTTAAGTAATTAATAAACTATTAATGAGATAGATAACAATAATGATTATTCATTTTCATTTTGAGATTATAATATTCTTACTAAATAATAATATATATATATTATTATATTATATTATAATAAATTAGTGATATAATAAATATTAGAATATAAAAATGGGATAAGTTTCATAAAAACTATTTACAACAACAGAAGCAGATGAATAGATAGTTATATCGACTAATTCAAGAATTGGATATATTTAAAAGAAATTTTTATTTTCACAAGCTGATGTTTCTAATTTACATAAAATATTTCGAAAGATGGATACTATGGGTACAGGGTATATTAGTTAATAAAACTTCTTTGAATTTTTAGATGAAGAATGTAATAGTGTTGTCAGTCCTTATATTGAATATTTATTTTAATTAATTGAAAAGGAAGTTGAATAAAAAGTAAGTTTTTCAGAATGGTTACCAGCTATAAGTTTATATTGTTTATATACAAAAGATAGTGTAGTTGCATATGTATTTTAAATGTTAGATAGTGATCATGATAATTTTATTTCTAAAAAGGATTTAATGAATTTTTTAGTTTAGAAAAGAAATGGGAAAAAGATTTTCTATTATAATTATATGAAAGCAGTTGAATTATTGGATATAGAAAGACCAGATAAGATAAGTTTAGAATAATTTAGAAAAATTTAATAGCAAATTCCATTTATATGTTATCCTGCTTTTCGATTATAAAGGGAATTGAGAAGTAGAATATTTGGTGTAAAATATTGGGATAGTCTTTATGATAGAATTTTACATAAAGAAAATGAAGAAAATAAGTAAAAATAAATGTAGAAAATTCAAGATGAAATGAAGAGAAAACAATAAAATAAATTAGATAAAAAGGTTGAAAAGTTCTTATAAAATACTCATAAATCTAGAGTATCTATGCCTTCTATGAAATTAATACATTAGAGAGTTAATGGAAGGAGAAATTCAGATACAAATATGCCTTAAAATCAAGAAACAGCTGATGAACTAATAAATAATATGTTTCAATAAATTAGTAAATAATTAAAGGGACAACATAACCAAAGAAAATAAAAAGAACTTAAAGTCCTTAGATGTAGATCAAAGTCTTTGTAGTATATAAAAATGAATTTTAAGCATACAGAAGAATAAGTAGTAAGATCATCAAAATATATTAAAACACAATAATCATCATAATAAATTCCTTTAAATTTTAAAAAATAAGAAAGAAGATCAATCTTTCATATGAATAAAATTAAACCCTAAATTGATAAACCTCCAGGGTCATCTCATAATAGTTCAGATTCTGAATCAGTTTCTTAATCATTATTATATTGAATGAAGAAGTGTTAAATATTTATGTATCTTTATTTATATGATTATTTTATGTCATTCTTTTTAATATGAACTTCTGATAAGCTATGTAGCACCATAGCCAACTTCTGGTTCTTGTGGTTACTCTGGAGGAGCACTACCTCTAAATAAAGTAGTTGCTCCAAAACCTGTTTCTTCAACACCTTCCTCTTGAATTTAAGCTGCTTAAGGCACATAACTTTTTGAAGTTTTGCTTCTAGCCAAAGATGTTTAAGTATTTCTTTGATTAGATTAATAATTTGATTGAACAGCCTATGGATCAACCATATCTAGAATTTAAGCTTTCCTTGATTATTGAACTGCTGATGAAGTTCTAATATGAGATTTGGAAACTCCAGACAAACGAGCTTATTGTTCTTCTTCCATATTTAATGGTGCTTTCATTAATCCAATCATTTCTTTTTGAACTCTCATAGAAGATCTTAAATAATGTGATTCTAAATAATTAGCTTTTTCAATTAATAATTGAGTGCTCAGTATATCAACTTCTTTTCCAACACTCCAAATTTCTGCATATGTCAATTTATATTCTTTCAAAACTGGATTTATTAATGAACCTGAATTATAAAATTATTAAAATACCTTTTTTATATGTTTCATCTTCTGGAGTAACATAACTTTTTCTTTACATATCTTGAGCATCTATCCATAATCTAAATTTATTATTGGCACCTCCAAAACCAACTCCTGATGGTGCGACTTCATTCAATCCTTTATAATCTCCAATACCTTCTCCAAAATAATGTAAATAAGAATAATTTTGAGTATTTTAATCACTTTCATTAGGGAATGTTCTTTTGAAACGACTTGCTGCAAATACTTTGAACTTAGGATTCAATTAAAAAAGGTAACTTTCTTCATTACCTTAATATAATCCTTAATCAATCCATTTTTTCTTTTGGAAAGCACCAACAATAGATTCATCAGTATCATTACTAAATTTCAAAAGGAATATAGTTGGTCCATCAAAAGATAACAGTGCTCTATAAAGAGATTCAAAATTCCAACCAGATACGGCATTACTCCATAATAAATTGACTTGACTTGATGATTTAATATATGCATTTCCAAGTGCTAAATATATATATTATGGACCATTAAGTAAATAAGATGGTTTTGTAAATCTGATTTAATTGAGATTTGATACCTTGCTTAAAGTTTCTATTGTTATACACTCAAAAAGAGCATGGTGAAGTATTGTTTAACTTATTCTGTTAGATGAGGAAATAGTTATTTAAAGAAGAGTACTAGACTCCACCATTTGACAGCTCCTGAACTATTAGGATATACAGCACTCAATATAGATCGAGCAACTGATTCATCAGGAGTGAATTTTGAACTTAAAGCCAACCCTGATCTCAAAGAAATGTACTCTACATCTTGGAGAAATTAAAGTGCTTCTAAGTAGGATACATTAGAATCTTTGAATTCTGGATCATCTATTGATAGTCGTTGCAAGCTAATAAGGAAAAATATTTCCATCTTATCAAGGGATCTGTATCCTTGAAGATGATAAGAACTCGGTTCTTCAATCAAGATTTCGACAATAGGTATGAAGTTCTCGAAATCAACTTTCTTGTTTGTAGAATGCTTTAACATGAACTGATATAGTTTTCCTCCCAAAGATGGATTACCATCGCATAGAAACTCCAAACTTTCTTAACAAAGATAGTCTGTTGTAGCCGTTCTAAAGAAAAACGAATTAAATTTACTCTCTATAACGAGTGCGTAATCTATCAAACAAACGGCGTAGTTTATCTAACACAACATCATTTAGTGAGATCTTATTCTCTTTACGTGATTCATTGCATCCCATTATATTTTAATGTTATTAATATTAATATAGGTGGCCTTAGCTGAAAGAATCTTCACTCCAGGCATAAGGCATGTTTATGAATAGATTCCTCACACCTTTTATTCTCCAAATGTCAACTCTACACTCCTCCTACAATATAATAGGTAATCAGTAAGAATATTTTTATTTAGCTATCCAGGAGTATATAGTATGGAATTAGGAGAAATTATTGATGGAAATTATACTAGAATCCATCCTAATGTGACTCTTGATCCATTCACATTACCTGGATGTAATTAATATGAAAGAAGGTTGATTTATAAACATTTAGCTAATCAATCAACTTAATCACCCAATGCATTTTTGACAAATATGTACATAGATGATAATTTTGTATTTGTTACAAGAAGTGATAATTCAATTCTGACATTCGAAATTGTCCTTGATATACTTGATAGATCAGTAAATGACTTAAAACTTAAAAGTATACAAACTACTCATGGTAGTAGTTTAGAACACCATATTGCATGTTTCAATAAAACATGTGCTGTATTTGGTTAGGATTCAGCTTTTCTATATAAAGATCCTGATTTTTAACTAATAGATTTAGAAAAGAATATTTAAGGAAGAGGAAGCTTTCCAATAAAAATATATTTTGATGAAAAATTAAATGCTCTTTATTTAATTTATGGTACTAATTTAATTGAAGTTTATTAATTCACAGAAACAAGTCTTATAAGATTTACATCATTTACTGCAGGTTAAGAAATTGTGTCAGTCAGAACTAATCCTGAATCAACTATGTTATATTTATTAGATAAGTAAGCTGGATTACTTTTCTATAAGATATTATCTATAGGAGAATATGTTGATACAGGATTTATGATTGCATTGAAGAATTGTTAATAGTTTGATTTTTATTAAAATACTTTTTTTTTAGTAGCTGAAACAACAGATGGTATTCCATATGCACTTGAAGTTTTAGTAAATGAAGATTCATATTATTTTAATAAAATATATTCAAAAGATATGGATATATTTGATGTTTGGGTTGGAGAACATATAGCAATTTTAATTGGATCTGAAGTTCATAGAGTAATATATCACTCAGTATATAATAAATTTATAAGTGAAAGTGAAACTCCATTATTCTTTTAAGATATAGATCTTATGAATGTAGAAGAATTTAGAAAATGGGAATCTACATAATATACAAAAAATGCTATAGAATAAGATCCATTTTCTAAGACTTCTTTTTAATATAAATAATTTTTTATGGTAGGTATTTCTAGCTAATAACTTTCAATATTTTCTATAAAATCAATTTCTCCATGGTTATAATGTAAACCAATTAGTACAAATTCCACACAATATTATTTGAAAATGAATGCTACTAATTGTCCTACAAAAATAAAAGAAAATGATCATTCAGCATTCAAATAATGTATAATAATGCATAATTTTACATTGGCAGGAAAAGAAATATATTTTTATGAATAAGATTAAATGACAGTAATTATTGGAGGATGTATTTTGATGTAATAATTTAATTAATAAAATTTTAGTGGTTTTGTATTGTTATTAATAATTGCAGTTGTTTGTGTTAAGAAATATCTAGATAATAGGATTGAATTTTATATATTATAGGAAAAATAACATGTTAGACTTGAAGAATTAGAACCTGAAACCATTCCTTCAGAAAATGTTATTGTATGATTTAATATTAAATTTTATATGCAATTTAATTATCATTATGAAAATATATCCTTTACTTATTATAATAATTATTTCTACATTATTATTTTTGATTTTTCAAATATCTCTAATCTTCTTTCTTCTATATTCTTAACCCTTTAACCTGGATCATGTGAAATATCAAAAGGATCTTTTGTTAAGAATTTATTATTTGTTGCCCATTTTTTTTATAATTAATTATTTGGTAAATGGATTGAAATTATGTATTCATCTTTAAAAAATTTACCATCAGGATATTAATAAAATTTCCAAAAATCTCTTAATAATTCACTTATCTTTTAACTTCCTATTGTACATTATTCCATTTTCTATTTTATTATTTCTGGATCAGTTAAAAAACTAACATCTGTTGTAAAACGATCACCTGCTGCTTATATGTCATCACCTGGTTTGGCTCTGGCAATTTATAATTTACCTGATTAATCATTTCTTTAACGTAAATATTCTTAATCTTATAAAACTGGTAATTTATGTTCCCTTTATAAAAATGCAATCCACATTAAAATAATTTAATAAGAAGAGAAATCATTTTAATTTATTAATTTTTATGCTTTACCCCATATTTTTAATAAAATACCACCTATTTTAACATATTCATGAAGATTAGCATATTAATTTAATAATTTTGTATTTATTACTCCAAGAATATTATTGACACATAAATCAAACTCAACATTTTCAATTGTATCCTTAATATTAATAACTGGAATACGAGCAGAATCAACATACCTTTCTATTACAAATCTCTAATAAGTTTAATTTGATTTGATAATTTTTTCAATTTCTTATTTTGTAAATTAAAGGAATTATTTTTCATTAACATAAGAATTAGTTAATATTGTATAATCAACATCTGATGATTATGTACCAAAACCATTTAAAAGTGAACCAAAATAACTATGATATAACTTTGAAAGGGGAGGATTAAGTGATTTATAATTTATTTGTTTTAACAATTTTACAAATTTCTCAATAGATTTCATTATTTTCTCTTTTGTTTCTTCACTCATTTTCTTTTCATTATAAAGTTTGATCAAATAGTCATCAATAGATTCTTCATTCTATTAAATCATTTATACAATTTATATTTATACAATTTATATTTATACAAAATAAAATAAATGATAAATGATAAACATAAACATATATATATATTTATTATCTTATTACTATTAAATAATTCTTATCCTTATAAATAAAAATATTCATTATTAGATACTACTTAAAAGAATTCCTATTTTTTCAAGATTAAATATATACTCTTTTTCATTATAATTATAATAAGTTGATTATTAAATAAAAATTATTATCCATTCTTTATATATCCAAAATCTTTGATAGTTTTTATAATATCATTAAATTCTTGTAATTTAAATTATAATTAATTATTTATAACATAAATATTAGATTAAAATAAAAAGTAATATAATTTATTCCATAAATTTACTGCAAAACAATAATTATAATTGCATATTCTCACTTTTTTTTCTTTGTTGATTATTTTAAAAATGAATCTACTGATTCTACTCCAGGTTTTGAATTCTTTTTTTTTGGTGAAGCTGATGATGATATACTAGAATTGCTTTTTTATTTCTTTAATTTTCCATCAGGTGTTTTTGGAGGTTTACTCTCACTTTTTGATGCCCTTGGTTTTTTTTCTGGATTAGTTTCTAATTATGATTTTCTCTTTTCTTCAATTTTTACAGATTTTTTTTCAGCTGTTTTTAATGCTGATGTTTTAAGATTTGATTTCTTTTTCTATTCATCATCTTTTGTTTTAGATTTGATAATTGGATGTTCACTTAAATCAGACATAATTTATGAATCTAACATATGTGCAATTAATGATGGAGATCTTTAAAATTTATTATCTAAAGACATATTTATTTAAAGAAATTAAGCATTATGTTATTCAAATCTTGATCTTAAATCAAATGATTATTTTGGTGGATAATTTGGAATATACAAATTCTTTTATTTTTATTATGACATTTATACAACCATCTAGTCTTATCTTCTTTACCATTCATCAATTTTACTTAAAGTCTAATTGCTCTAATAATTAAAATTTGGAGCTTATATTGTTGTCATTGTAGCTAATGTTTCATTTACGAAACTGCTGTTAGTCCTTGAACTAAATCCCAAACTAGATAATCTTTATTTGAAAGTATTAAATGAACTTAATGTTGAATTATTTACAAATCTTACGAATATGAATCATATATGATACTAGGTGTCAGATTTCACCATTTACTGAAAAACTTCTATTGGACTCATCATAATTAATATTTATTACAATTTATTAACTGTATTATAATAGTATGATAAAAAACAATATAAATTAGCTATTAATATAAATAATTTAACTAATCAATTTTTTCTATGTTATTCTATTTTGTCTCCCCATCTTTTTTCTAATCTTTCTAAATTTTATATTGCTTCATCATATTTCCTTCTTAATATTGTATATTCTTCAGATTTTTCTTAATATTCTCTTTATTTCCTTTAAATTTCATTATTTAAAGAGTTCACCTTCTAGGTCAATGTTAAATTATCTCTTTATAAATTTTCTAACTATACTTATAAATCTTATTATCTAAGTAATGTTCCTAAAATATTATTATTATTAAATAATTACTTCTATTATCTTCAACTATATTTTTTTTAAGTTAAGCATCCTTTCTTGCCTCCTCTAATCCTAAATGTAATTAATCAGCTTCTTCCTTTCTTTTTTTTAACATATCAATTAAATGTGCTTACTCTTATTTTGCTTAATTTAATTCACCTTTCAAATTATTAATTATAACATTTAATTATGTATTTTAAATATTATTTTTAAGTACATCTTCTTAAATATTATAATTGATGCTTCTAGTTTTTTCTAATTCCCCTTTTAATGTTTCTATGATTTCTGTTTTTTATTAAAGATCTTATATCAATTATTATTCCCTTTCTTCAAAATCAAAATAAGAATTTGTATTTCTTTAATCCATCATTTTTAATTATTATTCCATATTCATTTTTAAATCATTAATTTCATTTTCCTTATTTTCTATTGTTTCTTCTAACTGAGATTTTAAACTCTTTAATTTTCTTTCTAATTCATTAATATTTTCTAATTATATCTTTTTTTAAACTTCATATTAATCTTTTAAAGCACTCATTTCTTCCACTAATTCTTTATTTTATTTTTCCTTTTCTTTATTTTTTGTTACTTATAATACTAAAGCTTAATTTAAATCATTTATTTAATTTTTAGCATCTTATTTTGTCTATTTTAATTGACATTATAATTAATCCAAATCTTATTTTTATTAAGATTCAATTTCTTTTAAATTATCTAATTATATTAACATTTATTAAGTTGATTATTGATATTATTATAATTATTGACTCATCTATTCAATTTACTTACATTAATATTATAATTTATCATTAATCTTTAAATTATCATTTTATAATTAATTATATTCTTATTTTTATTATTCTAATGATTTTTCACATTATTTTAAATTTTCTTCAGTCTTAATTCTTTTTTAATCTAAAGATTTATAATCATTTAATAATTTATCATAATCTACTTTCATACTTGTTATTTTATCATCAAGTCCTTTTTAAACTATTTAATAATTTTTAACTGATGATTAAAAATCTCTTTCAATATCTTTCTTTACTTTTGTCATTTAATTCAATTCTTATTCCTTTTAATTTAAATTAGATTTTATCTATTCAATTTAATTTTCCAAATTATAACAAATTTATTAAAGATGATCTTCAGATTCTGTACGTTCTCTTAATATTTATCTAATTTTCTCTTCTAATTAATCAATCACATTATTTTTTTAATCTAATTATCTTGAATCAACTTAATTATGAGCTATTTCAGCTTTTAAATTATCATTTTCTATTTATAATTAAAATATCTTTAATTCAAATTATTCCATTTATTTATTCTATTATTAATGTGGAGTTCCAGATGGTGATCTCAAAATAGAAGGAGATTTATTCATATCTCTTGTATTTCTCTCTTAAATTACTTATTTATATTTTGATTCTAATTAACTATAATCTTTTAATAAATTTTAATATTTTATCTAAAACTCCTTTGATTATTCATCTTACTGAAATAATTATCTACAAACAACTGAATCACTTATATTTTTTTCTAATTTTTATAATTGATTCCTCAACTCTTCATTTTCTTTTTAATTAAGTTGTAAACATCCAAGAACTCTATTCAATTCACATTAATTCTATTATAATTTTTAATTTTCCTCTTTTAGTCTCTTTCTTTCATCTTAAACCTATTATTCTTAATCTATTAATTGTTTATTTAACTAAAATAATATAATATTAAATTATACTTTCTAATTCTCTTAAACAAGTGAAGCCATTTTTGTCTATAATTAATCTAAAATTGCTTTTAACTTATTATAATCATCAGTTAATGATTATATTTTTTATTCATTTATATTTGTATTTTAATTTTAATAATTAATCTAAGGTAATTATTAATTTGTATAATCTGAAATAATTGTATCTTCTAATTTTCTAAAATTTGAAAGTACTTCTATCATCTTATCATTTAAAATATCAGTTAAATTACTTGTTCCTAATTATTTTTATATAGAATTTATTAAATCTCTTAAAGAACTAGAAATTTTATTGATATCGTTTTATAATTTAGACTTTAATGAAGTTGTTTAAGTTAATTTTTATGGTAAATTTATATTATTTGTATTTTAATGTGCTAATTCCTAAATGGGAGATATACTTAGAAATTCAAGTCCTACTTTAATATTTTCTTTTGATTCTAAAAATGGATTATTTAGAGTTCTTCTATCTGTATTTGAATATGATTCCTTATTTTCTTTATTTATATCAAATTGAAATGTCTTTGCAAAATCTTATTGATTGATTTAGGGAGGTAATTGTTTAGTGGTTTCAAATGGTTTATATTCTGCACCTGTAGATTTATAATCAAGTGTCTTCTATTTGTAATGATAAGAATCAATTAATTTTTTTGGTGATTAAGGTTAGACATTTAAGTTAGCTAGAATTATTATAGATATATACGTGAGGAAATGAATTGTTTATTTGCATCATAGGTAGGAGATTATACGTATGGAGAACCTACATAAGTTTATACTCTTGTTTATGTTTATGTTTAAGTTTTAAGACCATACACCAATTATCTATCAGGAGAATGAATAGAGATTGGTGTAAGCTCTTTAGATAATGAGCAAGGACGAGCAACTGTAATTATGGTCTATTGTTTTGGAATAGTTTTCATTTGTAATGTTTTTCTGTTAATTATTTTTAAATTCAAACATTATACTCATAGAATAAATTAAATATTTATATATGTACTTTATTTATGTATTCATTATAGATATCTATAATAATAATAATGATATATTATATAAGTCTATGTAAATTTTAAGATTTGACACTTAATAAAAAGTATTTTAGAATATTATTAAAGAGTTTTAAATTATTGAGTAATAAGACTCAGATATATATTTATATATATATTTAATATAGATATAAAAAAAATCAATTAGAAACAGTAAAGTTCTAATTACATATTTTTAATTTTATTTAAATTATAATTAGATGAAGAAAGCAGTTTAGAAAGTCTAACTACTTAAGAACATGACTAAAATATTTGCAGAAGGCAATTATTAGGTCACTGTTAAAAACATTTTAAATGCATTATCTAATTAATGTGAATCAGATATGTAATATCTAGAAAAATAGATGCTAAAAATATTTCCAATTTGTTCTAAAATTTAAAGATATTTAAGAAGCACAGATAAATTTAGAATGTTCATTAAATAGTTTTAAGTTGAAATTCATTCTGAAAAGGATGTAATTTTCAAAATGGGAGAAGTTGGAAGGAAAATGTATTTTATATTGGATGGCAATCTGAATATATTTCCTTATGAAATTAATGAAATTAGTATGACAATTTTATATTATTGAGAATAAGTAACCTGCAGCTGTATTAGTTCCTGGAGATTATTTTGGAGAAGTTAGTTTACATCATAGACTTCCTAGAACAGCTACAGTTATATGTGCATGTAATGCTGTGCTTTTAGTTATCAATTATGAAGCTTATTACAATTTTTTGTAACCTGTTATTGATCATCTAATTGCAGTTTAATATTATTAATTAAAGCCAACAGCACTTTTCTATGGTTGGAATGAATTAGCATTAGCTTTAATTATACATCATTTGAAATTAATTACAATTTTAAGAAATCAATATGTGTATAAAGAAGGATAAAATGATAAATCATTCTATGTAGTTAAGAGTGGGGAAATATTAATATAATAAAAGATAAAAGTAAAAGGGAAATTTTAAGATCATGGTCTAGTGAGTTTAGGGATTGGATAATGTTTTGGTGATTATGAATTTATAGATAATCAATCATGGTACTTAAATAGGAATCAGTTAGATAATATTCGTAGAAGTACTGATGCTATATCTACTACAGTAAGTGAAGTTTATAGAGTTCCATTATTTTAATATTTATAAATTGCAGAGAATTATCATTCGGTTTTATTGAAAAAATATTTAAGATAAAATAAATTCATATTAAAAGAAAGAATTGAAAAATTATAAGAATAAGTAAGAAAAATTGAAAATTCAGAAGAATATGATAATCCAGAAACTGTTTTTGTTCCAGAAATTAAACCAAAATCTTGTAATCCATATTAAAATTTATTAAAAACTATTAGAAATAGAAAAATAATACCATAATAATAATAAGTAAGAGAAGAAATAGAATCAGATACTAATATTGAATAATTGAAACAAAAAATATAAAATTATTTTTATTAACCAGCCAATCTTTAAACATAATTGAAAAAAAATGAATAAACTTAAAGTTTATCTTAAAGAAATTAACATAGAGTTCATTTAAAATAAAGAGAAAATAAGGATGAAAAAGATAATTATTTAAAGAAATTAAAATCAATGAGAAATAAATTATTAGCTTAAACATCATATAATAATTCTTAAATTGATACACAAAGACCATAAATTTTAAATTAAGATTCTTAACACAATTTATTTTAATATTAATACTAATCATTAAATATTCATTCCTATAAAAATTCAAGAACTGTTACACCTAGTAGATCTTATGCTATTAAAACTCCAAATTAAAATTATTCAGAAAAAAAAGATGAATTTCATAATGTTCAAATTATTAAATCTCAATCATAAAGTTCATTTTAATTACATAGATAAGATAATTATCCTGTTAAAAAAATTATTATGGAAGCTCGAAGTTAAAAAAAGTCATCTTTAGGTTGTTTAATAACCTAATTATGATTATAAGTATATTGTAATTATATAAAGAATTCTAAATTTTATATTTATATTCATATTTTAATATTAATAGAACAATTCTGTACATTATATTCCAAAATGGATTATAAAAATAAAAATTAAAAGTCAATTTTATTAATATTTATTCCATTTTAATAAAAATATGTGTTGCTCATCAAAAAAACCTAAAAGTGAGATTGATAAAAGTTAAATATCTAAACCTCCTGCAAGTGTTATTAATAATAATCAAAGTTAAGTTCAAAATTAATAAGAATCTTAATTAGTTTAAAATCAAAATAAACCAATGGAAGTCAAAGAAGTCAATCTTATGGTTAGTCAAATTGAAAGTCCAGAATCTAGATAATAAAAACTATTTGAAAGTAAAGTTGAAGGATTTAAAGAAAAATATGCTAAACTTCAATAAGATTCTACAGAAGTTCAATATAATCAAAAATCAGTTGACCAATTGAAAGCTAAATTATTAAAGGAACAATTAATAGATCTTTAATTTCCAAATAATGAGATTAAAGGACCAATGTTTTTAGATGATAATATATCAAGTTATAAAGAAAGAGGTGCTGAATTTGCAAATACTTTAAGAGAATTTAATGGAGAGATAAGAAATATGAGAATTATACATTAAACACCATATAACTCATATAGTTTTATTGGACATATAAAAGATAAAGGATTATATTTTATTAAGTGCTGGAATTAAGTGAATTTAACAAAATTTCAAAATTTTCTAATAAATCTAGGTAAATAATAGCAGAAAGGTGAACAATACAAGAAATATCATGCATTTAAAGTAGATCCATTAAAAGATACTGATTAAAATAGTCCTATTGGATAGATGTATCTTATTTCAACTCTAGAAGATCATAATCTTTATTCATTTGCGTAATTTATTTATATTTATATATTAATTTAGAGCTTCAACTTAATTTAATATTGATTAGAAATTGTAAGTGGCTAATTAAATATTAACATATATAGATTAAACAGATTTAAAATCATCAGGCTATGGTAATTCATAATTTTAAAAGAAAAGTAAATTCATATCTCCATCAAATATTTTAATATCAACTCAAAGAAATAGAATAGATGTTAAAATTTCAGATTGGTAATAACATTTAAAAGATTTTAATGATATGATTCCTGATATAGAATTCAAAAATAATAATTATACTTCTTGTAGTGATGAACCAGATGATTAAAGAACATATTTAATAAAATTATTACTCTTATTATTTTTTAGATTAAATTTTAAGTAAGAATATAATAATAATATTTTTAGTTAAATTGAATCATTTGGTAATCTTGATGGTACAGATTAATTATCTAGATTTATTGATATAAAATAAATTAATACAGATTCAAACTTTTATAAATAATCAAATTTTAATAGATATATTTAAAGTAAAATTAATTTGATAGCATAACCAAATTAAGAGAAATATTAAAAAATATGGGAAGAAATGAAAGATAAATAAATATAAGAATTATCATTTTATAGATTAGAAAAGAGAGAGAATTGATAAAATATAACAATAATAATAATAAAAGCAATATTAATTATCATATACTCAAAGAATAAAAAATAAACAATCAAATTCATTTTTTTTCTTATTGTTTCATATAATTATCTAAATTATTTTGAAGAGAGTTTTTAAAACTGACATTTTTTTAATCCTTTATTAAATATTTTAATATGAATTCCACTGATTCATAATTTTTTGTCTTATCTAAATGTTTTGTTAAGGCTTTAAAAATAAATATTTTTAATGTATTTGGTGTCATTAAAAATATTTCTGAAATCCCTTCACAATATTTATTTGAATTAACAAAACAATTCACAAAAAATTGTATTAAATTATCCTATAAAATTCTATAATATTTATATTACTTCAGATATTCTCTTAAATTATAATAATAATTAAAACACTTAAGTATATACTGTCCAAAAAGTTTTACTTGGATTTTCTAAATTAACAAATATTTGATCTATCAATATATTCAAATCCTTTTAATTTTCATTAAGTCTACATATCATATTTATCTATACTTAATTATTTTTTGAATTAAATCCACAACTAAACCAACAAGTTAAAGATTTTCAATTTAAGGTATTTTCTTTAAGAAATATAAAATTGAACAATAATTAGAACTGAATAAATTTTAAATTTTATTTTATGCTTTTTATATTGTTTAGATATTTGTAATGATTAAAAGATTGAAAACAAATTCAATATTTGAATTCAATTAACAATTTGATAATATTTCTTCAAATATTATTTAACTCCTTTAAGCTGAAATTAAACTTTAAACAATTTTAAATGATTTTATTATTTAATCTGTTTATTGTATAAGCAATTTTTCTAAATGACTTGATTTTGTTTTACGTTCAAAATAAATCAAAAATAAATAATGAATACTAAATTATTCAGAAGATATCAAACTTTTTATTAAATCATATAATAAACTCTCTTAATTAAAATTTATCTATAATAATGTTGTTAAACAATTAAAAGGATATTCTATATAATAATAATATATTCAATACCATAATCAAGATCATAAAATTAATCTTCATATAATCTAATAATAATTTTAGTCAATTCTTAAAGAAATACATGTTTAACATCTGGTTAAATAGATTTATTGAAGAAATTATATAATCTAATTAAATTGATTTCTTATTATGGATTTTAAAATATTGCATCAAGTTTTTCTTTTTCTAATATTTTTTATAATGTAATATCTATTTATATTGTATTTACAACATCAACTTCTTCCAACATAATATCATTTTATTAGATTGATATAGAATTTCCTTAAAATTCATCTAAAATTGAATCATCAATATTTGTTGTATTACCATTCAAATACTATACTTAAGGTGTATCCAAATCATCAACTGTATATAATGCTGTATGAGGTTAATCATAACTTAATCCACCAGGACCTTAATATTAATTACATATTAATTTTAGAAAATACTCATGTATTTTGCACTTTATTGCTTCCCTTATATTTTGATCTTCCAATAATTTTTAAAAAATATTATGAGAACTAAGTGATAACAATTAAGGTTAGACCTTCTTTTTTAATTATTCATTAACTTCAAATGTTTAAAAAATAAACCATAATGCACCTTATAATTCATTATATAATTATTTATGGTATAGTTTTCTTAAAAAATATAATCCTGCTTAGATATTATGATCATCTTTAAAATCTCTTAAAATATAATTTATGCATTTACTTTGTCATAAAGAATATATCAGAATATATGAATCTTAAGAATATTGGCCATTTTTCACCTTATAAATCCGCAATCTCATATATTAATAACAAGGTATCAGCTATTTTGTTTTGGATTATTTCTGTCTCATCAAAATGGTAACCACAAATTATATTTCTTACTATTGCACCTATAAAATTGATATGATATCCATATTTCTCAAATATCATAGTCAAAAATGTTGACATACTCTCTAATGGCATTTATGAAAATATTGCAAATCCTATTCTTTATTCTACTTCATAAGGTAAAGCCAATTAATAATTTGCTTTATAAGCAGCAGTTGTAGTAGTCTAATTAGCAATCAAATGGGATATGGGTAGATTTTATTTAATTACATTGAAATTCATCATAGAAATGTGAAATTCTGAATATTAAAAAGGTAATTAAAGATTAATTAATAATTCTCTACCAAATGATAAAATTGTTTATTAATAGAGTTACCATATTTCAATCATTATATCATTTATCTTTTTATGTGGAAATTATTATATTTTGTAATAATCATCTATATTTAAAATTAATAGATATTTATAAAATAATAATGCCGCTAAGTTTGGTTTGACTATTATTTATTTATGTTAATCAAATAAAAAGTTTAAAAATTCCAATAGAAAAGTATAATTTTAATTATGAGGATATATAATACATGTTCTTAAAAAGCTTTTAAAACATTCTTCTAATTAATCAAGTGGATTTTCTAAGAATAACTTCATTATTTCAAATATTTATATCTTTATATGATCTTTCAATAAATGATATTATGTATTTATGAAGTGACTAAATTCTGAATAAAATGCTATAATATTATGAAACCCATTTATATTCATTAAATCAAACAGCTAAATTAATTTATATATTATACACTTCTTTAATATTGAGGAGCAAGAAACATGACATATATTATGGCTTTATGTTGATCACTAAACTAAGATAAATTTTTTTATAAATCCTGCTAATTTTGATTTTATCTACATAATTCATATAATTAATGTTAGGTTAAAATGTATGCCTACTTTTTTTTATACAAATACTTATTATTCATATGAGGGATATGTTAAAACATTGTAATTATATATATTTTCTGATCCTTTAAACCATTACTTAATAATTTCTTATGATTGTTCCATTGTTAAATTCATAATAATTTATGAGATATTTATAATATAAATAACTTCAAATTCAAAAAATAAATTTAAGTTTTATTAGATAATGAATCTAAACTTAAGCAACATCATAAACCACATATTCATTATAAATTAGACTTGATTCAATATTATGAATCTTTAATTCTTCATTTGGAATAACTTTTCCAGACTCAAAATCTAGATTACTATTTATAAATTATATATATATATATACTTAATCTTTTCTCTTGTTTTAGGATCTGCATGATTTCTACCTACTGCATGTATACTATGATAATTTTGAGGTGGTCTAACATGATCTTTAGCTTTATATATTTAATAAGAGTTGCCTAAAGCAACTTCACATAATAATACATATCCATAAGGATTTTCAATATTGGCAGCACAATAACCAGCTGATTTAGAACAAATATCAGCAAAATAAACACCTTTTCCAAACATATAACCAGTACTTGGAGCTTCTGGAGGTGCTATTTTTAATCCTTCTGATAATATTCCTACAAAATTTGTTATTCTAGATCCATGCCACAATAATTTTCTATTTTCTAATGATTTGAATGGAAAGAATCTAATTTTTTCATTTTTTCTTTCAATTTCATATACTTTAGATATTTATAATTTAAATTTTTCATGTGTTGGACCATGTGATATATTAATTGAATGTTCAATTTTAGATATAATATCTTAATCTTAACATTCTTTAATATTAGTTTTCAATAATTTATAAAATTAATCTAATGGATTAATATCACTATTTTCAGTCAAAGTACTATTAATATATCTATTAGCTAATTCTAATTCTTATAACATAGTTAATAATTAATTTTTTTAACCTAATATATCATAATTATCAATCTTAGGTGGTAATTTCATACCATAATTTTAAGGAATATTTGTATAAAATTCATTTGAAAGATCAACTAATAAACTATATTTACAATCTCTTAAAGCTTATTAAATTTCATTAAGTATTTTAAATCCTTTTTTAATAGCATCTACAGATAAACGACCTAATGGATTTTTATCTGTATCAAAATTTAATTCTTTAAGTGTTTTATTCATTCTTTAAATATCCCATATTTCACTCATTAAATCAAATATTGCAGGTTCAAGAGAAGATTATAAATTCTTAATTCTTGCTGCAATTCTTCCATTTCTTTAATTTAATTTTTCTATCTCACTATTTACAGAACCTCCTCCACCTCCTATAACATCAACAATACAATATTTTCCAGGTTACTATTTAAATTCATTTCTCTCTCTCCAATCCCAATGAGTTTTATCTCTAAATTTCTTTTCAAATCCTTTTATTGCAGTCAATAAATCACTCTCTTTTATTTCTTATTAAGGATTCTATGCACCAGTCTAAATTATATTATTATTATAATATTTACTCTTCCCCATTTAGTAAATAGAAAATAATCACCATCTTTTTTTAATACTTAAATTTAATAAAATTTATTATGACCTTTAACTCCATAAGAAATATCAGTCAAATTAAGCATTACTGTATAATCTTTATGAACCTAATATCCTGGTAATACAGATCGATTATCAGATTTTATTTTTGCCATTTCTTTGATCTCTTCAACTTCTTCTTCTATATCACTATCACCTTTATAAAGTTTTCTTTCTTAAAATAATTTTCTTTTAATAGGTGGTGATTATTCTTCAATTAACATTTCTTATTATTCTTATACTTTTTTATTAGGTGTTCTATTATGTAAAATCTATTAAAGAAAAGATTAATCTTTATTTTCACCTTCAGGTATAATATCAATTTCTGGAAGACTAGATTAGAATGTCATTTTTAAATGGCGGGAATAAATATAAAAATAATTAATATGAATTATTTTCCTGTAAACAATTTATAATAAATTAGATAAGTGTTTTACTTGGAGGAAATAGAAAAGCTATATTGTAGAGATTTAAAGGAAATGGAGTTGTAAGTGTATTAGATTTTTTGAAGTAAAAAAGATAGAAATTTTATGAAAAATTAATATCTTAGAAAATGTTACCAAATGATGTTGATACATTATTTAATGAAATTGATTAAGAAATAGCAACACTAAGAGAAATGGAATAAGATATTTTAAATTAATTACATTAAAATTAATAACTTAAAATATACTAATATTTATGTTTAGGAGAATATGAATGTCTTCCTCTTAATAAAATTTCCCTTATTTTAGGAGATATTGGAAGTGGTAAAACTTCAATGATGTTTTCAGCTATTTAAAATTATTTAATTAATTAAAATAGGGATTCAAACATATTATATTATGATTGTTCATGTACTTTATCAGCTTAACGAATATATAAAATTATTAAAAGTAATAATTCTGAAGCAATAACAATTGATGTATTAAATAAAATTTAATATCATGCTGTTTATTATTTAAAAGACTTTGAGTAATTAATAAAAAATATACCTAATAATACTATTGTATTTATTGATGGATTAATGACTTTATATTATGAAAGTGAAATAGAAATCTATAATTTTTATCATATTATTAATGAATTGATGAGATATTTACATGAATTAACTGAATCATAAAATAATACTTTTGTAATATCAATTAGATCAATTTAAGATTAATTATAGTATATATAAGCAACTAAATACGATTAATATATTAATACATTTGCAAGTACTATTATTCATTTGATTTCTACAAAATAATCTAAAATTATGAAAATTCATAAATCACTTAATGATAGATTACCATTTGATAAATCAATTCTTTATTAAATAAATGAGAATGGGATTTAATGGTCAATTAATAAATGATATTATCATATATATATATATATTAAAACTTAATAGTAGATAAGAAATCTATAATTTTGAATAATAATAAAAAAATACATAATAATATATATTAGTAATTTTTTGAAATAAATATTATAAAATATTAATTAATGTTAAGTAGCAGAAGATCATAATAACCTGAATTTAACCAAATATTTAAATCTTAAGAGTGTAATTTTTCAGCTAATAAGATGATAATATAAGAAATGTATTAATGTGGATAATGTTTTGATTATCCTCATGGTATTTGTAAATACTGTTATGAACATTGTCATAAAAAAACTAGAAATGTATATCATCAATAAGCAAAATTAATAAAAATAAGAGGAAATTTTAAATGTGAATGTGGATTGTTTAAGCATAAACAAAAATAACTTAATATATAATCTTGTCCATTGAATTCTTCAATATTTTGTCCTATTTAAAATTGTGCTATATGTTAAACAAATCTATGTTCATTTTGTATTAAAAATTGTAAACATCAACATAAATATATACCTGGTGAAGGATGTAAATGTAATTAATTACATTCCAAATATTAACTTAGATTACATTATATAGAATAATTAAAGAAGTATAATATTACAAAGACTCTTAAATATAAACCTGAAGATGAATTAATTATGATAAAAATTACTAATGCATTACTTAATAATTTTGATATTTTTGAAATCTTATTTGGAGAATTAAAAAATACATTTGAAAATATATTTAATGAATTAGAAACAGGAGATTTTAATTAAACATGTATTTGGTCATAAAAATAGTAATTAAATATTTATTATTATTTATTAGAATAGATGTATAATAAGATGAATAAAATTTAAATGAAAAAATATTAGAACTATTTACAGAAAAGAGATTTCCATATACTGAAGTAGCTTCTATACTTGTGTTTATAGAATAATTACTTATAAAATTAAAGTATAATCTAATATATCTTGATGATAAGATATGGTAATGCATGACGTCAAGTTAGATTAAATTCTTAGTGAGTAATCAATCTTAAACTATGTTTAGGTTAATATCATATATTATCATAAAATTTATAAGAATCAGCTAAAGAGAAATTGTCTCAATTGGTTTTGAAGATTTTAAAAATTTAATCTTTATAACTTAAATATCAATTTTCTAAATTTAGAAAAATAGATACATTAGATATTGAGAATAGTACTCCAATATAGAGAAATTAAATAAGAAAGTATAATTAATGTTTGGATAATGGAATTTTATAGGTAGAATTAACTGAATTGATAAAGAGATATTATAGAATTTTATTTGATATTGAAATTACAAATCCAATTCTATCAAAATTATTAATAGTGTTATTAAAATGTGTTAAGATGGGATTGTAAACTGGATTATTAATTAAGACTTAAGTTATATTTAAAGTAATTTTGAATTTAGAGAAATTATGCAAAGATATTGATTATTATAATTAATAGAAAAGTTTTGGATAAATTTAAAGATTTTTTACAGAATAGATGTTCAATCTATTAAGTAAGATATTAATATTGACATATTTTTAAATGAAGGATGATATATTTTATGAAATTCTAAATGAATAAATTAGTAGAAATGAAAAAAGATAGATTTCATTAATAGATAAATATACAGCATCATTTTATTTTGAAAAAAAGAAAAAGAATTTATAAATTGATTTATTTTATAATGGAGAATCAGAAAAGCTTTAAATAATATGGAGAGTGTTTATAAATATAGTAATAAATTATAATTTGAATGGATAATATTATAATTAGATGATGAATCCATAAACAAAATTAAATCATATAATATAAATAATGTTAAGAGAAAATTTATTTGTAGATACAACTTTAAGAACTTAAATTAAATAATTATAAATAGAAGATTTATTATTATGGAAATATGAAAAGTTGACCATATTAAATTAAGATGTATTTATTATTATTAATATATAAGTTTATAATTCAATTAAATAATTTTAAATCTGAATGGAATAAATATTTAAAAAATTCTATTTAAAACTCATTTGAGTTTGATGAAACTGAATTAGAAAGATTAGAAAATTTATGTAAAGATCTTTTAAATACAAAATATTTTAAAGAATTAGAAAAATTTGAATTTAATCAAGAGAAAATGTGTGAAAATTAAAAAAAAACGTATAAATATCATTTTTAAATTTATTAGTTAATCAGCAAAAAATTTATAAGATGAATTAAAACAACATTTAAAATAGGATATGAAAATAATAAAATAAACTTAATAAATATTATATGAAAAAAGCATAGATTAAATTATTATTAGATATTGTTAATTTCTAATTTAAAATTAATTTGTTAAATTAACTTAATTAGAAATTATTATAAATATTACAAATTTAATGTTTTAAATTCTTAAAAGAATGATTAATTATAATTAATAATTGATTAATTAGATTTATACAGTAGAAAATTATTAATTATTTTAAAGAATTGCAGAAAAAGAACTACCTTATTATGGTTAATGTAAATTAAGAAATATCATAATATAATTTCATTTTGATGTTATATTAAAAAGTGGATTTATTATTGTCTATTAATATTGCTTTTTAAATCCATAATTTCTATTATAGCATTTAATTAATTTAAATGAAATTTTAGATAGTTAATATGATGATTGTGCAGAATTAACTTAAAAACATGCATCTAATATATTATATAATAAACACTAAATATTTGAATTAATCATTGCAATTTTAGAATTGATCATAATATCAAATGAAATGAATCATGATTATTTACAATTTCATTAAATTTGTGAAAATCTATACAATAACATATTACCTTAAGTACTTAATCATTCTACTGATATATTCACAAAAGGAAATTAATATACACCAAATTCTTCATCATATGATATCTATATGAATTAAAATTATAATAGATATTCATTTATGTCATTTAATAATTCTTTAGAATATATTTAAAACGGAATTTCTAATAATTAAAATAGTCCTAAGAATTAATTATCATAAATGTCATTTTATTCTATTAATTCTTTAAATTAATCATAAATTATACAGTAATCTTTTACAATGAAATAATTAAATGAAATATTCTAAAAATAAAAGGATATAAGTAATTAAGAAGAATTAGCAATAGCAACAATATTATTAACACATACATTTATTCGTTTTATGAATCTAATTATTGATTATTTTAACAGAAATTAATTATTAGAAACTTAAGATTTAAAAGAATAAGCATTAATAATAGAAAAAATTGAATTGATACATTAATATTTTGGTTAATAATTGGAATAATGTTAATTATTCTAAGGACCTTTAGGAGGATTTGAGGAATTGGTATAAGTGATGGAGAAATTCTCAAGTCTTGTAAGTTATTCTTTATCCAATAAACTTGAAAAAACAAAACCACCTGAAATATTTTAGATTAAAGAGAATAATTTAAGTGTTGCAATTTCATAAAAAGCAATAGATGATATTGTTAGATTTAAAGATAAAAACATATTCTAATCTTTAAATAAAGTGTTATTGAAATTTAAATTAAAAAGAATTGAATTAGAAAATGATATTTTAGAATAAAATGCTATAGTATAATTGATTAAAAAAGAATATCATAATAGAAGTAAAGAATAATATAGTCTAATATTTATAAATGTATTAATTGAATTATTATAATAATAAACATGCTTTTAAAGAAATCGTAATTTAGTATATCCAAATACAATTTTTATGTCTCATATTAATTATATAATATAATTATAGAGATTATTATAAGCTGAAACTAAACCAGTATAATAAATAATTAACACAAATATAGAAAAATAAAATCAGAAATATCCTAATTTTTAAAAGAATTTTGATAGTTTCTTAGAATATTTATCAACTAAAATTATTCCATATTTATTTAAAAAAGTAATTGTATATCAAGATTAACATTATTTATCAATAGTTATTAATAGTGGTAAATATTCAATTATTGTACTTGAATTCATAAGATATTTAGCAGAAGGATAGAATTCAGAAATGTAGAAATATGTTGGAGAATCAGGATTATTATTATGTATACTTTAATTATTAGTTGATTTATTTAAATCTAAATAAATTCTAGAAATTGTTAGAGAAACTAGTAATCAAAATAAAATTAAATCATAAACTAAAGCTAGTTTTTAAAAAGCAGTTCATAATGTAAGATCTATGTAATTAAAGAAAAAAAATAGTAGTACTACAGATTATTTATTAAAATTTCTTTAAAAAAGAAAAAATATTTAGAAATAAACAAGTACATAAAATGAATTTATGTAATTTGGTATTCATAGTACTTAAGGAGATTAATATGGAATTGATGTTTCTTAAGCTTTTCTTAAACTCTTTGCTCATACAATTATAACAATTGCTGAATTTAATTAAGGTTCTTAATAAAATAATTAAAAATTAACATTTAATGAATTAAGTAAAAATAGAGTTTGGTAAGTCATTATTTAAATATTAATTGTAAGAACAAATGAAAATTAATAAAATAGTGTATATACACTTAGACTCTATATATTTTAATTGATTTTATCATTACTTGAAGATCCTGAAAGAAATTCAGATGATTTTTAATATATAATGAATCTTATCAATCACAAATTATTAGAAGAAACTCTTACATAAACTTATAGAGCATTAATAATATTTAATAAATTAGATCTTAAAGATTTATCTACTATTGATAGTTAATTAACTGAAAAATATAGAAGAGAATTAGGAGATAATATAAATGAATCATTAATTTTTGATTCAAAAATGCTTATTAAAATACTTTATTAAATCTACAAAATGTTGAATTTATATGCTACTAGTAGTCTTGAAATATCTTAATATTTAAAAGATTAAAAATAATAATGTTAATAAAGTTAAACATAATTATTGAAAAGAGAAGGAGATCATTTAGTAAAATCAGCATTTTAATTTATATTTAATATTGTTGGTTCTATAGAATATGTTAATTAAAAGGATTAAATAGAGATTTTCCATTTTCTAAAACCTCCTATGTGTTTTTTCTTATCAGAAGAAACTAAATTATAATTTTTAATAGAAACAATAGATAGATCAAATTCTGCATCTAAATTAGCATCTATATTTGATTCCATTCCTCAATTCATGACAGAAATGAAAGAAAATATGTCAAAATATAGAAAATCTTTATTCTTCTAAAGATTAATAAATGTAGCCATATCACCTAAGTAACTATCTCATTATTTACTATTAGTTTTAATCATACTTAATTGGCTACATCAATTACAGCATTAAATATTATAGTAATATTGTTAATATCTAATACAGCTTTTGTGAAAATAGAAAATGATGAAAATGGCATTACTATGAAGTATTAAGAACCTCATTCTTTGGCATTAACACTTTGTTAAATATTATTAATATTTACATCACTTTTAGCATTAATTTGTCAATTATTTTTTAGAATGAGTATCTATTATTAAATTAGTTGTAAAGAGGTTAAACATACATTCTACAATACCTTTGTTATTATGTTCAAAATATTATAAAGAAGAGATATATTTTAGTTTTTCTTACATTTTGTACTTAGCATTTTAGGAACATTTGAACCTTTCTGTTTTTACTTATAAAGTTTTTGTTTTATTTATATCTCTTAAACAATGTCATCAGTATTAGAAGCATTGAGATTGAGATGGTAATAATTCTTAGGGATTTTCAGTGTTTTATTGATTATTTTGAATGCTTATAGTTATATAGGATTTAGAAGATTTTCAACTAGTTTTTAATTAGATGTAATAGTACATCCAGAAAATGATATACATGAAGAGGAATTACTTTGTGATACTCCTGCTCATTGTTTTATAAGTTTAGTGTATTTTGGTTTAAGAGAAGGTTCAGGATTAGCAGCACATGGAGATATTGAAAGTTATCATAAATCATCTGATTATTATCCAAGATTTTTATTTGATTTTAGCTTTTTTATAATTGTAACACTTATTATGATTAATATCATTAATGGTATCATAATAGATACATTTGCAGAACTTAGAGACAAATAATAATAAAATGAGTATGATAGAAATAATGTTTGTGTTATATGTTCTTTAGAAAGGTATCAAATTATTAATAATAATAGATGGGAATTTGAGAAATAAGGATTATAATTTCAAGAACATGTAGATGAAGTACATAGTCTTTCAAATTATATTGCTTTTATTGTACATCTACTTTAAGTAGGAAAATAAAATATGAATGGTATTGAAACTCATATTTATACAAAAATAATAACTAGAGATATGAGTTGGACACCATTAAAAAAAACATAATAATTACTAGATAAGTTATGAATATAAGATTATTATTGTTATTAAATCAAAATTATAATTCTCTTTGTATTTATATATATATATATTATACTAATGTGAGATTTAATTTAATTAATATATTTGCTAAAGTTTAAATGTCAGAAATTATAGTTATGATAAGATCAGAAATTGGAATGAATAGAGTTTCTATTCTATCTAATCAAACATTTTAAGATTTTGTAAACAAAGTTGCTTAAATTTTGAATAAACCTCCTGAATCTTTATTATTAAATTTAGAAGGTGCATAGATTTCTTCAAAAGTACCTCCAACGATGCAAATCAAAAGCATTCCTAAATTTGAGTAATATATTAATAGATATTATTAGAAATGGAGCCTTTATTAATGTTTTAATTGACACTAAAAAAGCTCAATAAAAACCATAATAAATTTAAACTCCTGAGCAACCAAAAGTTTATACGGCATTTGGAAAATTAGCAAATACTTAATAGATTTAATAAGTTGATCATAAAATACATGAAAATAAAGATCAGTATTTTATTTATATCATAATGATAGTGCTTTAAGTTAATTTTGCTAACATGGTCCATAAGCTAAATGCATTAATTGTTTATCTGAAACATTAAAAAAAGTTGATAAATAGGAGAAAACAGAAATTAATAAATGTAAGCATGGAGAAGGTGGTCGATGTTTGAATTGTGCTCCTTATGAATAAGAGAAAAAGAATACTAAAGTAGCCAATAAAATCTTATGTCAACATGGTCCTAATGGAAAATGTCCACATTGTATTGATGAAGGTCAAATAGAGGCTAAACATGTTTCATTTGATTAATATTTGCATGATATGAAATTCAAATGTCGTGGATAACATCCAGAAAATGGAAGATGTAATAATTGTTTACCCCCAACTATGGTAATTATATTTGAATTTATTTATTTAGATATCTTATAAATTAAAGAAAGATTGTAAAAATCATGCTCCATATCCTAAAGCTATGTGTAATAATTGTCTTCCACCATCTATCTTATTAAAAAGATAAGTTTATAGACATGTTGATTATGTTGAATTCTTAAACATTCCAGAAATGTCTAATTTAGTTTAATATTGGACAAGTAAAGGAAAAACAGAATAAAGAATGGGATTTTTATATGGATATTATGCTGCAGATCCTAATTATTAAAATGGTGTTAGAGCAATAGTAGAAGCTATATATGAACCTCCTTAAAAAGGTTCAGTTGGTCAAGTTGAATTATTGAAAGATCCAGCTTAAAGTCATGCTGATGAAATAGCAAATAGTTTAGAAATGGAAAAAATAGGATGGATATTTACAAATGTTAATCATGATTGTTTTTTATCAAGTGAAGAATTGAGATAAGCAGCAAAATACTAATAACTTCATTCTATTAAACATCCAGAAGGTTGTTTAGTAAGTAAGTTCTTAACTGTTGTTTTGAGAAGTAAATAATATAAAAAATATCATTAAATTAGCTAAAAAAGATAATCCTGATGAAGTAGTTCCAGAAGTTTATATGGTTTCTGATTAGGGATAATAATTGGAATATGATGGAATATTTTAGAATTCAAGAAGAAGAAAGGTATTATAAGTTAGAGAACCTAAAGATGAATTAGATGTGTTACCATCATTTGTATATAATGGTAAATCAGTAAAAGAATTTGAGCCAGACTTTTTTATAGTGAATGTAATATTAAATATTTTAATATTTATAGGTTGCTCATGGTTACAATCCAAATTCAAATTATAATACATTTAAGTTATATGATTTCCCTGTTGAAAATAGATCAGTAGTGGCTAAATAATAAGATTTAAAGGCATTCTTACATAAACATTAAAAGAAACCAAGTTATCATAGATTTGCAGATTTCCATTTGTTGTTATATTTGAGCAAATTGATAGACATACATGTAAATATCTTATTGAGTTAAAATAGAGTATTGTCAATATAACCACGTTTATAGCCAGTGAATGCGAAGTACCAAATGAATTACTTGATATTGTAAAAATGTATGCAACAGGTGCTTGAGATAATATAAAAAATTAAAATATTTTTAATAAATGGCTAAGTTTACAAATAAACCTAAGGGTCGTACAAGTAAGAGATTAGCATTGAATAAGAAATATAAAATAGAGAAGAAGGTTAAATAGCATCACAAAAAGCTTAAAAAGGAAGCTAGAAAGATGAGTGCCTTAGGATAAATAAAGAAAAGTATTTTTAATATTAATATAATTATAGCTTCATCCAAAGAAATAGGAATACCTAATATGTATCCATTTAAGAAAAATGTTATTGAAACCTTAAAAAGAAAGAAGGATTAAGAAGAATAAGAGAAAAAAATATTAAAATTATAATAAAAAGAGGAAATAGATCTTAATTTGGCAGAAGTCAAATCAAATTTATATGAGACAAAAGCTTAAGTTATTGTTGAAGATGAATAAGTATAATAAGAAAATTTGACTTAATTAACTAAAGAACATAAGAAATATATAACTTAAGTAAAAAAAGTAGTAGAAGTAATTTAATTATTTTAAATTAAGGCTGCTGATATAATATTAATAATCTTAGATGCTAGAGATCCTATGGCATGTAGATGTAAACATATGGAGAGAGAAATCCTTGGTATGCCAGGAGATAAAAAGATTATTTTAGTTTTGAATAAAATAGATTTAGTACCTCCAGGTAATGCAGATGCATGGTTGACTTAATTAAGAAGAGAATTTGCTACTGTTCTTTTTAAAGCCAATACTTAATAATAATAATCCAATTTATCTTCAGCTTCTATTTATAAGAAAACTTTATCTTAAAGACAAGATTTAGCTGATGATTTGACTTCTTCTTCTAAAGCTATAGGAGCTGATAAATTATTGGAATTAATAAAAAATTATTCAAAAAATGATGGAGTTAAAAGTAGTGTTACTGTTGGTGTTATTGGTTATCCAAATGTTGGAAAGAGTTCAGTTATTAACAGTCTTAAGAGAAGTAAGGCTTGTGCTGTTTCTTCTACTCCAGGATTCACAAAGGGATTATAAGAAGTTATTATTGACAGTTAAGTGAAGATTATTGATTGTCCAGGAGTAGTTTTTGATTCTGAAAATAAAGAAAGCACTCTATTAAGAAATATCATTAAAGTATAATCTATATATATATATTATATAGATTGAATAAATAGAAGATCCAAGATAACCTATTGAAGAAATCTTAAAAAAGGTTTCTAAAAATGAGTTACTCTTACTATATAAAATTCAAACATTTAATAATGTGAATGAATTTTTATGTTAAGTAGCTTTGGCTAGAGGAAAATTATAGAAAGGTGGAATTCCAGATTTAGAATGTGCAGCTAGAATTGTGTTATAGGATTGGAACTAAGGAAAGATTAAATATTTCACTGTTCCTCCAAATTAAATTGAATAAGAATGACTTATATATTTGTTTGTTTCATAAAAAAAATTAATAAAGCTTCATTCATATGGGATCTGTCTGTATTAATAGATCATCTAATAAGAATAATGAAAATCTACAATACCCAATTATCAATAAGCAAATACAAAAGTCACCTCATAGACAATGTGCATTGAAGAAACCATCCACTCATTCTGAATTACTTGAAGATGCTTAAGAATTAACTTAATTAGAGAGCTATTTAGAGGATTTAGATCTTAATAAAAGGTTTACTGAAGAAAAAATAACTAATGAATAAAATACAATTCAATAAGAACAAACAAGAATAAACGAAATTTAATAGGAAGTGAGTGAAAAATTAAATATCATTGTAACTTAAACAAAATTCTAAGTAGAATTATAAGAATAAACTTCAGTAAATTTAAGAATGAATTAAGGAGGATCAGATACTTAAACCATAAGGAGTATTTTAAAAGTTAATTAATCCAAGTCATAAAAATCAGTTAATAGAATCTTATAAATTAAGACTAAAAAAAAAGTCTCTTTTGAGGCTAAACACAAAAACAATAAACTGTTTATGTGATAACAATGAGTAATTTTAATATATATATTAATCCGTAATACTATAAATTTTTGAATCAATCATCAGTTTAACATAACATGGCTACTCCTCTTTTGACCCAATGATATGGATGATGATCTGGTGAAATAGGTAAATATATAGAAATAACAAAATTTGTGGAGTGACCAGTTGTAGATAGAGTACCAGCTCTTCTAGATGTCTTATACACTGGGCATTCATAAACCTAAATATAAATTCATTTTTTATACAGAAACATCAGCTTCCCAATCCTTCTTCTCTTCACTTGGTAATAACCATAAGTATGGCACCTTATATTAAAGTATTTTTGGTAAACTTTCATTGAGACATCTATTTTCCTCATCCCATCGAGCACCATCTAAGAATAAACCATAGATGTAACAACCATCATCAGGTGGTTTTGTAAGATCATATTCTTGAGATGAAGGAGGAATCACTATAAATTCAAATGAGAGTGTATCAATAGGTATTTAGTACTAAAATATATATTAATTAAATAAATACTTTTCGAGCAAAATTCTGGAGTGTGCCAGTCAAAAATGATTAAGTAAAGAAGAAACCAGATATCCAGAAGGTTGGTGGTGCTCCATTTTCTATCCACAATTACATAAAATGCAATCTATCAATAAAGTCATTAATCCATGATCCTAGTGGTTTAAGTGATGGATAAGCCACCTTATGCCATACATCTGGAACTTGATTATCAAATACTTTATTAAAAACTTATTCTAGATCTGCACTCATTACAACCAAACCATCAATAGCCTTACCCAAATCAATCAGAGATTATGTAACAGCTTATAATAATTTATTGAATCTAATTAATTCTTGTTGTAAGACTGTATTCATACTCTAATTATATTAAACAGGATGTTTACGAGCAGCATCTTCAACATTAAATTATTTAGGTAATTTCATTAAAATTTATTTACATTTCTCTTTGATTAGATCTTCAGCTGAAATACCAGCACCTCCTGTTGATCTAGGCAATAATGATAATATAGTTGATGTAATGAAATTTGTTTCAATGATAGCTGATGATATTTCTGCATTATCATGTAATCCAAATACTTCAGTCAAATCATTTAATGGTAGATTTCTTATATATTCTTTGTAATCTTCCAATACTCCATTTGGAGGTACATAATAAATACCACTTGGACTTAATTTATGTTTATCTATCTACAATACATCAGTTGTGTAAAATTATTTAAGTAGAATGGCAATTAATCTTCTATCTTTGGGATCTGTGACTCTACCTCCATAATTAGCTTCAGCAACCATATAATTAAGAGCTTCCCATGGAATATCTTCAAATGTATCAAGGAAATTTTTCAATTAAGATACAGATATGGCTAAATCTGCTGATGTAAATTCATAAGGAATATTCCATCCAAGAGGTCCATATTTACGACGTTCTAAACAAACTGCATGGAAGAAATTCAAACCGAAAAATAGTTTTTTCCATTCAACTGGCTTCTTACATAATTCAAAACTCTTGGAATCAATTGAAGAAAAGTTTCTCAACATATTATTTTTTAAACCTCTTGGTGGTTCATATGTCATCTTTATACCTCTCATTAATAGAGTTACTGGAAATACATTTGATGGCATGGAAGTCAACCAAATTCTAAAATCAGAATTTACTTCTTATGCAGGTTTTGCACATATTTCTTATTCATGTATTCTTTCTAATTCAGGCATAAATGATGGTGCAAGATGACAATTTTATAATAAAACCCATTTTCCATCTTTAACAGCTCCCTTTATAGCATTAGTAGCAATTTCTCCTTAACCTTATCCTAAAGAGAGTGTGATGAAATTCTATCTAAATCCTAAACGATCAGCTAATGCAGATATTTCTAAACGAGGATCAGCACCTGGAGACAATATAAATATTAGAGGAGTATAAGCATCAGCATCTCTGTATGCATATTCTAAATTGAATGGAGGAGGATCCATAAATTATTTACCCATTTCTGTAATAATAAGATTCTAAGTAGCGTTTGCAAATTTATCAGGTCTTATAATACGTAAAACAATCAATTTTTAAAAAGCAGATAATTATGAATGCCAAGGTTCTGGTAATTATTAAGTTTATGGTTCACTACTATCATAGATTTCTTGCCAAACAGCTAAATTTTTAGAGAAAGATTCAGGGAATCCTTTGAAAAATGGTAGAGTATCAGCTGCTTCAGTTACTAAACACCACATCTTTCTAGATATCCATTCTGGTTATGGTTATGGATATGTGGGATCTGTATATGTTCCACCAACCATTGTGAAACGTATTTCTTATGGACTAATCTTTCCCTCACTTTACATCACTTTCATTGTCATCAAAAATGAAAATATCAATTTATCCTTCTCCAAAAGAGATCTACAAATACTTTCATATAAAGATATCTAAAATTTATCTATAATATTTTTGCTTCTATTTTCCTTTCCTTAAATTGATTCTCTTATGGCTCTCTCAAATAATATAATATAGAATTCTAAAGACCATTAATAAGTAGGTTCAATTAATGATAAATCCAAAACAACGAAATATAAATTTGCAACTCTCTTTGCAACTTCTTTGTAGAAATTACGAATTTAATTAAATTGTTCCCTATCCTATTCTTATTTTTTTAATTTATCTTAAATTGTTATTGATTCTGCTTTTGATCTCTACAGAGTATCAATCAATACTTCATCATCCAATAAATTTCCTTTTGATTCTTGTAATAATTATAAAATATTATCTTCTGTCATTTTTTATTTATTCTTATTTTCAAAGAATTCTTTAATATTTCTTTATCTTTATTCATCTTTTGCAGGTTCTTCAATTTTAACAACAATATTCAACATTTAATCTTCCAAACCTTCTTAAGTAACTTAGAAATTAAGCATTGTAACTTTAACACAAATTTCAGGTGGATAATGAGGTCTAGCCAATTTAGTAGTCATGTAAAACTTAAAATCTTTGGAATAATCAATCATTTTATCTCCAAATTTCAACTTGTAAGCTGAACCTTATTTAATTATCTTTTGTTATAGAATAGATTCAAAAATAGCATCAATAGTTTCACCTACATTTTCTAACAATACACTTTAACCAAATTATATAGCACTTTCTAAAGTCTTTGATAATACATTTTAAGATTATGTAGGTCTCACAATAACTAATTATTAGGCTTCCATATGTTTAACCCATGTATTAGCTTAAGTTTAAGGATCAATCATTAATGGCCATCTAGTTGAATTTTTTAAAATAATAGCATTATCAATAGAGAAAGAATCATTTGGTAATTTTTAAACATTTGTCCATTATCCCATTGTTATTGGATCACATAAAATCTTTTGTAATGAAAATTCAGGATCAAATTCAATTTTTAATTTTTCTAATAAATTCTACCATATTTTTATTGTATCATCTCTATATGCAATTGGAAATGCTCCTAAATATGCCACAATTCCTGATGATAATATACAATCACCAACAATTGTTTTAGAATCAACTCTAAAATCAGCAGCTTTCTTTTTCCAACTCTCCTTCTCACCTCCTAATTCAGTAATTAATTTCTCAGCTCTACTCAATTAAATTTTACACTTATTAACTTTAGCTTCTAAATCTTCTTTTTCCTATTTAGCCTTATTATATTCAGCTTCTAATTTAGCCAACATATCAAGCACTTCTTATAATGCTTCTTGTTTTACTCTAAGAGTTTCTTCAGCTTCCTTTAATTTTGATTCAGCTTCCAATAATTATTATCTTTTTGGATCAACAACTAATAATGCATCATATGTTTCTACAACAGCACGTACCCATAAACTTAGATTACCTGCTGCAACAGATGCATTAAATACTTTATCCTTTTAAAATAATGGATTTTATGAAAATGCTTTTAATTTATTGATCTTAACTTAAGGAATTTATCTAATTGAATCATCTCTGAAATCTTTAATTCTTTTAATCAATTTATCATTCAAAAGATTCTTTTTAGAATATTCCCAAAAATCTTATACTTTTTCCATTGAACCAGGTTCCTTAGGTTTCCATGGTACATTTTAATCTTCTTAAAAGATGTAACATAAACCTTCCATGACAATGGCAGCAGAAGGAGGAGGTTTAGGAAATGATTTCAATTGTACCATATCATTTTTATCAATCTTTTCTAATGCTTCAGCAGCTTAAGCTAAGATAGGTAACACTTTATCTAGATCATTTTAACAATCATTTCTTAAAGCATTTGCTGCATCTCTTTGTACATTACAATCTTTCTCTTCTTATTAACATACTTACTTTCTTGCATCAGCTTCTTTCTATTTCTTTTACAAATTAATCAACATTATACTATTATCTTTTGTAGCCTATTCCAATTTTGGTTGCAAATCTTCCAATTCCTTTTACATTTTGCTTACTTCACTTTCTGTAATGATAATCTTATCAACACCTGCTTCATAACGAGATATCATTTTGGACATATTTTAATCTCTATCTGATTTCAATCTTTTAAATGTATTAAGTAATTCCAAATAAGATGTTGGTGTAACATAATAATATCTTCTTAATTCATTATAATATCTTTTAGTTAAATCAGATACTCTAATTTACATATCAACTGCTATATCTACTAAACCTAATCTCAATTTAGTATCTACAATATTCATATCTCTTGTAAATACAGCATCAGCAGTTGATCTAAGAGCTTCTTCTGGCCATGGCAAAAACCAATCGATTGTTGTACAATTAACCAAAGCAGGAAAAGTACGTAATCTTCTTCTAAATGCTTCTCCAACTGGAGACATGCAAATTACAAGATGTAAATTCTTTTTACATTATTTTACAAAATAACCATATTTCTCATTTGGTGTTCCAGATGTATAACTACTCATTTCTTCAATAATTTTACTTTTCTCTTCAGGAGGGAATAAATTGGGTACTTCACCATTATTTAAGATATTACAAATATCTTCTACCATTGATTCTTTTATTATCT